ACCTCCGCCGGGGCTTGACCTTGATACTGAGACTTGGTAGCTCTACCGGTATCGCGAAAAGACTCTTCAACAGAAGCTTGAGATTCTTTATCAACGGAACCTATACATTCTGGCTATCAATATCGCCCAGAAGACTGGTGTGGACACTCTGCAGCAGAATGCTATCTACCGAAAGTACGGAGATTTCTTATATCAGAGAGGCGATTACGACACTGCAATGCAACAATATCTTCGAGCGATTGACAACACAGAACCATCGCAAGTCATTCGGAAGGTAAATTTGCCCTGAATTCCATGTTGCCAATGAGTGCGCTGAGCAGGATATAGTATCTGGATACCCAGCGAATACACAACCTCATCGAATATCTGGAGGAGTTACACGACCATGATAAAGCCACAGTAGATCACACCACGCTACTACTGAATTGCTACGCCAAATTGAAGGACACGACCAAACTAGATGAATTCATCAAAGCCCCTGGAGAATTGAAATTTGACCTTGAGACTGCCATCGCGATGTGCAGGCAGGGTGGGTATTACGAACAAGCAGCCTATCTTGCCACGAAGTATGGTGAAAATGATATGGTCGTTGATATCCTGATTGAGGACTCGAAGAAATATGCTGAGGCTTTGGAGTACATTTGGCGGCTGGATCCAGAATTGGTCAGTAAATATGCACTCACCTCCATATTTTAAACTGACATTTTCAAGGCTTATCACAACCTGATGAAATATGCCCGCGTGTTGCTCTCCAACTGCCCGGAGAAAACCACCGAGCTCTTCACAAAATACTACAAGGGACAGTACAGGCCAAGGACTGAAGTTGAGACACCTGTTGAACCACAAGCGCAGCAGAGTAGCACTTTACAAAGTCTAGCAGCCTTTCTCCCTCTTTCTCTGATGAATGCTAGTGCTGGGCCGAAGGCTGAACCAGTGGAAAGCTCACGCGAAGTCCAAGGTGAAGATGTTGAAGACTTCATTGAATATCAGGTTCCAAAGCCAAGAACCGCGTTTTCGGTATTTGTCGGCCACCCCGATGAGTTTATTTTATTCCTCGAAGCTCTTATCGATGGAGAGGATTTGAAAGAGGATGAGAAAATTGACCTCTATACAACCCTCTTTGAAATGTATCTGGATACTGCAGGTCGGAAGAAGGATGCCACTGACAAGGAGGCTTGGGAGAGCAAGGCCAAAAAGCTCATCGAGGGAAAAGATGTAGGAGAATCAACCAGACTAGTCTCACTTTGTCACTGATATTCTTAGATACCTATATCCACCTCGAGTGTTCTGCTGTTATCCGACTTGTCCGGCTTCCGGGAGGGATCCACTCTTGTCCGCGAGCAAGAAGGTCTGCGATCAGACATCTTCCGTTCTTTTACATCGGCAAAGGATACCAGCGGTGCTATTAAAGCGTTGAAGAAATATGGACCGGAAGATCCGCAGCTCTACGTGGATGCGCTTACCTATTTTGCTTCAAGCCCCAAGGTTCTCGAGGAAGCAGGAGACGAGCTGGATGCTGTTCTCAAACGTATTGACGAAGCTGGCCTTATGACCCCGCTACAGGTCATTCAGACTTTGAGTAACAACGCAGTCGTCACGATGGGTCGTGTCAAGAAGTACCTCAGCGAGAACATTGAACGCGAAAGGAAGGATATCTCTACGGTTTGTTACCTTACCCGATCCATGGTTTTTCTCGCGCTAACATCAACATCCAGAACCGCCGATTGATCAATAGTTACAGCAAGGAGACTGAAAGTAAGCGTAAGGAGCTGGAGCAATTGGGGACCCAACCGGTAGTATTCCAATCGCGCCGGTGTAACTCCTGCGGTGGCGCACTCGATCTGCCTACGGTTCACTTCCTCTGCAAACATTCTTTCCACCAGCGGTGCCTCAACAAGGTGGACGAAGATGCGGAATGTCCAGCTTGTGCACCACAAAACTCTACCATCAAAGCCATCCGCAAGCGGCAGGTCGAATCGGCAGATCAACACGACCTGTTCAAGGGAGAACTGCAGCGCTCGAAGGACCGATTCGGGGTGATCAGCGAGTTTTTCGGACGGGGGGTGATGCGACCCCAGAGTACTATGGAGTGATGCAGCCTTTTTGTTTCTAGCACAGCCTTGCATTTGATGTGAACAGATCATGATATTACAGACCTGGTGTTTTTGGGTGTTTCAATTTAAATATGACCTACCCATTGTAGTTAATGGAGAGTTCAGTTGTGGTCTAAAGAGGGAAGTCTTATCACCACGTGACCTCGCGTCATCTGGGGATTTTCATATCGGCGGGACGCGACAGACCAAATATTATTGGAATTCTATGAGTCTCATTACAGAAGGCTGTGTACAGTGCAGCACAGCGGTGCGTCCCAGTCCCATCGATGCACGATCCTAGCCGAGAAAATGTCTTATGACCGTGTGATTCAAGACTCGGACGATGAGGATGATCCTCTTGTGGGACCCCATTCCCCGGTGCAGGAAGACGATAACGCGCATGCCGACGACCACGTACAGGCCGATGTACAAAGACACCAGGAGATTGAGGGCAACTATGATGCGAGCATGAATATCGACTTCGACCAATACCTACAATCTCAGGAAAGACTGCCTCCGGGGCACTCATCTCCACAGCACCAAGAACCAGAGAGATGGGTCCCCACGAACTCGGGAGGTGGATCTATGGGTAGGACTCTTGAGTTGCATGCATTGCTTTACTTTCATCATGAACATTCACCTAACCAAGGCTCTGCAAAAGGCTCGATGATGACTGAGATTGGTCTCGCCCAGCAACGACTCTTTGACGACGATGAGGTTCAGATGGTTGACCCATCAAGGCAGCAGCATCCCCATGAACACGGCTACTCGGAATCGATCCACGCAGAAACCATGATACCCCGACAATCAGAAGAACAGACCAGCGTTAACCCCACCGGCTATCCATACATCCGCGATCCATCATCGTACAGCGCCATAGACAGCAATATCAATCCGGCGCAAGCTGGGCTTTCGCTATCGTCCAACACAAATCCCAACACCTCCAGCCTCAATGCTACCCCGCCACCCCAGCAATACGAAGCACCTCTCTCCGATATTTACACTATGCACACCCACGTCGAAGTGCCGATACGACCACACCATCACGACTTCTCTTCTATTCCAAGCTTCAATCCCTCCTCCGCGGCCGCACAAACAACATCCTCATCCTTCAACGTCTTCGAGGCATCACTCCCACCTCTCCAGAATGTGTACCCTGAGGATACCGACCACCATCATTATAACAACTTCAGCAACTCCGCGGCAACCGTCCCCACCGAAGTAGCACCGACTTCTTCTCCTCGCCGAGTGGCCTCCCTCCAAGCGACTCCTTTCTCTCGGCACGACACTCAACCCTTCTCCCCCGCCCCATCAGCTGTCAAAGCAAGCCGTTCAAAATCCGAGAACCAACACAAGAGCACACCATCGAGCAACCCAACCCCGAACCGCACCGCCGCAACAACACCACTGCTCCCTACTCAATTGAGCGCGGATGAATTGATTGCCATTCACGTGCCAGCTATGGAAATCCCCGTGGTGGAGAAGAAACGCGGCCGCAAGAAGAAACAACAGCAGGAGCAGCAGCAGCAGCAGCAGCAGCAGGAAGACGCACCATCTCTTCCAGAATCTTATGCCTCAACCACCTCGAACGTGATCGTCATCGACGACGACGCCGAGGATAACGAAGCCGCCCAACCCTTTACTACCACCACAGACACCCAAACCCCTTCACACCCCTTTCCAACCACAACCGAACCCCCCAACACCAACAACAAACCCGAAAAACGCAAACCCGGCCGGCCGCCCAAGAATACCAAACCAGCGCCCATCGACCCCTCAGAACCAATTATTCAAGATCCCCCACTGCACCCCACGACAACCGATCCCTCCCCCAATCACAACCACAATCTCACCGAATACGACACCAACCTCCCCTCAGAATCCCCAGTCTCGCAAACAACCACCCCTACCGTCAAACCCAAAGAACCGAAGAAGAAAAAGCTCAAACGCGGCAAGACCACCTCCATCACCCTGACCAAGACCTACGAATCCGACATCGAACCCGACGTACTCTGGGTCGAGGAAGACACAACAAAGGAGGAAGACGCAAGACCGCGCCGGGGCCCCGGCTCCGCGGTCGAACTTCCCCCCCTACCAGCCCATCATCAATCCACAAAAACTAGTTCCGTCCCCAAGGCGAGCGAGAATCTCGAGCTCGTAGCAGCAGCGGCGGCGGCAGCAGCACCAGCACCCAAGAAACGCGGCCGCAAGAGAAAGAATCCCGAGCCCGAGCCCGAGACTCCGGCATTGGAAGAGCAAGAACAGATCCGTCTCCCTGAGCAGAGTGATTTAGTGGGAAATCAGGAAGCACCGGATGATGACTCCCTCGACAACCTCAACAATGCTCATCAGGGTATTCGAGAAGGGGAGGAGGAAATGCCACCCCCAAAGCAAGCAGATCCCACTCCCGATCCGCAGCCGGACCCGCAGCCCGTCGAAACGGTTCCTGTCACCCCGTTGAAACCGAACAAGGGCCCCGACAAGCACAGTCCCATCTCGTCGTCGAGTAAGGTGCCCTTCCGGGTCGGGCTGAGTCGGCGGGCGCGAATTGCCCCATTGTTGAAAGTGGTCAAGCGATGACTTCCCATTCCCAGTTCTCCGAGCAGAGAAGTTAACGGTCGTTGGGAATTGAAATAGAAGTCTCTTATTTACTTTTTATTCTTTCAAGATACGTATATTGTTTGAGGGAGGAGGGGCTCCAGACTACATAATCGCGATCTAAGCATGAGTCATGTCTTTTACGGAATACCCACAAGGGCGCGCGCACTTTGCTTATTACTGTGCTTATACTTAATTGTTTCTCGATTGCTATATCTATGGTGGTTTTCGACTAGGCCACAATGGGACGCTTCTATAAGCTGCCAATGAACGAGAAATGATCATCATTGCTCTCCAGTGACCCTCACGATCATGCTTCATAACATTCTTATCAATGCTCAAAGGAGTGTACAAACGTCTTACAAAGCACAGGCTCGGCCTATTAAACATGCAGACTCACAAACATAGTGATCAGGCTGCACCCAGGATATCAATGACGTACCATGCCAAGTCTAGTATCTAGGCTCTCGTTCCCTGGACTATCCAATCAGCACAGCAAGCAAAGGCAGTCCCGCAAGCTCGATGGGGAATCTCGAAGGTTGGAGCATACGACTCGCACCCGACTTGGCAGGCTTTCCCTTCGATATGACTTTGCTAGATGGTCGGAAGTCGGCGTGATCTTCTTCAGCGACAACGACCTCCTTTTTGCTGTCACAAACTCCGTTCTCATTCTGACAGCCCTCGCCACAGAACGTGGTCAAATTGCCACAGAATCCGGTTCCACTGCAGCAAGGCCCAAAGCGGGACCCCTCGCATGTGACATTGCCGCCACACATCCCGTCGAACGAGACTATCTTCGTGGGAACCTGGAAGACCTCATTTCTCGAGTTGCGGCCATCGACAGTGTTGTCTTCACGGTACCAGTACTTGGGAGGGTCTCCAAGACACTCACCCACCGTCACTGGTCGGAATCCTTCGGCGGTGAGCTTTTTCAACATGTGCTCCGTGAGGTTATGGACGGTCTGCTCATGAACGTCATGAGCAATCACAAGCCAGGGACGGTCAAAGGCAGTCCGAGCATCCAGACTACTATCGAAGATATCCTTGGAGCGTTGGATTTCCGTTGGACTGTCGTGCTTGTAATCCTCTGTGTCGATATCATATAGAATGATATGGTAGCCAAGCTCCCCCATATCCGCCAGGCAGCCGGACTCGGCCGTGCAGCTAGAATAAGGAGGGCGCATGTATGTAGGGAAGAATCCCAGAATGTTCCGCAGAGCGGCCTCATTCCACAACAGCTGAATGCGACGCTGGGACCGTGAGATCTTGCTAAGATCCTGGTGAGACCAGGTGTGGCTGGCAAGCTGATGGCCACTCTCATGCATACGTCGAATCAAACCTGCCCATGGCATTCCAGGGCTGTCAATCTGACCTTTGGCGTTGTTGTTGCCGGTGATAAAGAAGGTCGCCTTCGCTTCGTACCGGTCAAGAAGATCGAGTAGATCCTTTGTGAACTCCTTGGGCCCGTCATCGAAGGTTAGAGCGACAGTACCCGGGACAGTGCAGGATCGAATGATATTAGGTCCGTAAAGGGCAGCCCCGTCAAGAGGACGCGGAATGTCTTCGGTGGAGGATCCGCCTGGGGTCATGTGCGCGTCACAATAGCCGTAGTCGATTTGGCACTCAGGAGAGCTGCAGTGGTCCTTGGAGTCTCCACAATAGCCTGCAAGCATCAGAAGGGATCTTGTCGGTCAGAGGCACAAGAAAACCTACCGGCAGTGGAGCAGCAGAGTTTCTCTGGACATTTGCCAACCCCGGAGCCGCATCGAATGCCAGCTGGTGCACGCACTGCAAGCGGTTGAATGCTAAAATCGTCCTCAGGCCGAGGAAGAATTGGAGACACCTGATGGTTCGACTGCAGAGTGATGATGTTCCGGGCAGTCGTGCACGCCGCAAGACCCCAAACGGGGAGGGCCCAATTCAACATACGCATAGTGCTGACTCTGAATCTGGTAAAGTGTATACGAAGGCTAAGATGTAGTGCAATCTAACACGATAAAAGTCTGGTGTGGAAGATAAGATGCTGAAGTTGTGGGAGGAAATAGGAAGAGAGCTGGGGGAAGAAGTATCAGAGCTGCTTTGAATGTGCTGGCCGACAACACAGCGGAGGAAGCTGCGATTATCAACTCTAGCGACCAGCTTGTCCCAAATATGACCATGAGGCAGTCGCGATGAGGAAAGACCTCCAAATCTCCATTGGTGCTGAGATACTGTCGTTGCCTGGGAAATTCTGGCCTGATTCAAAATGCTAGACTGCAATATAGACAGGCAACCAGCCGGTAGGACCACATACCCTGCTCCCATGTATTCCTCGTCAAGACATGCCCATCTTGATTGATAGCCCAGTTGCGACAGAAACTCTGGCTCGAAGCACAATCTATGTCTCGATTCCTGGAGGTTTCCCTAGAAACTCCTTGGGGTAGCAGTTCATATCCAAATATCGGGAAGTTACGCGGGCACGGCAGTGGCTGCCATCCCTGCCAACCAGCCGTGGCGAGCAGGAGGCGCGCATTGTTGGCGATATCAGATATTCGTCCAAATGACAACTGGGATGATCTGCACAAGTGGACTAGTTCTGAAAGTAGGTATGAGACCATAATTTTCATTGAGGGTATAATAATCCACGAGGTCCAGCGATAACCGGGAGTTCATCAATCTATCGAGACGAGATCCTACATTACATTGAAAGTTGTCTTTTGAGGAGTCCGTCGGAGCATCACAAAGAAGTCAGCTCAGCTGACTGGTGCCACTGCATCCTCACCAAGGGCTGAGAACACGAATGGCGCCAGCGTCGGAAGATAGGGCCCAAACTTCGCGGGGGCGCTCTTCGCTATGCTGCCCACCGTGGCGACAAGGTGACGCTGGTGGATCATAGTGGGTTGAGAATTGAACTTTTTGGTGAGATCTTTCACGAAGAGGTTAAGCTGATGGTCGGAGAAATGAAGGACCAAGGCCGAGATGGCTACCAGTGCGCGCTTCGTCACCACGGTACCAGCCGTGTCGTTATCAACAATGGACATGACGGAGTTTTGCAGGGCGGTCAGCTCAGCTTCCTGCAAGAGTGGTCCGAAGCAAGTGACAACTTGAATAAGAACATCAATGGCATCGCTGCTGAACCCCTTGGATGGATCCTTCTCGAGCATACCCTTGACAACAGACCCTCTTCTGCTGGAAGGTGACGGTATGGGGCCCGTCAGACGGGGTATGAGCACACGAGACACCGCCGAGTAAGCCGAAGTGGCCTCTTGGCTGGGGTTCTGTCCAGCCTGAGGGCGAGGGAGAGCAGTGACGATGTATCGTAGCGCGGTGTTGGGGACGGATGTATCGATGGTTTGGGAGGCAGTGAGGTTGGTGAGCTTTTCGAGAAGAGAGGCGAGATTCTCAAATGGCAGTCGATGAACGAGGGGACCGAGGCTAATCATTATAGAGGAGTCAGTAGTGTATGTGATGACCAGGAGGGCGGGGAGCATACCATTTCAGTGCCTGGTTTTGGACATCGCCGTGTTGATCATCAAGCGCCTTGAGGAGGCCCTCGGCCAGCTTCGAGGCGGAGACTTGGTCATGAGCCAGATATGACGAGTTTGGGTTGTTCAAGAGACCAAGAAGATCATTGAGGGACATGTATCTCATGTCCGGATCGGGATCATCCAGCTTATGAAGCAAGTTGTTCAAAGTGTGCTGCACTGCTTGTCGGTCCCCCATTATGAAGCCCCGCACTGGAAATTGAGGTGTCAAAGGTGGCGCTGGTGAACAGAGATGCGAGAACGAAGTACAACTCTTTGTAGAGATGGTGTAAAGAGGAGTCAAGGAAGTGCAAACAGTCTTTAGGAGATGAACCAACACGTAAAGGAGGAGAGTGGAGGGAGGTGGTGAGGGGAATGAAAGTCGGTTCGATAGTGAATGTGATAACTACGGATAGTCAAGTCGAGCTGATGCTATCGGAGCTAGCTGCCTGAGGCTGCAGTAAGCTTCTCCGGAAGGCGACACCGGCCATCCGCGCATTCAGCCACCACAGCACACCAACATTAGCCATTGCTTCCAGTGAGGATGAAACGCTGATGATGAAGAGGCTCAACGAACTGTAGGCAGCGATGCTCACAATGAGTGCATATCAGAGAAGCAAAAGAAAGTATAGGCAAGTACATAGCAAGCTAAGTATAGCTCAATACGGAGAAATAACCGGGAGGGAAGAAGCACCGCCTCCGATCTCCACATGGGGACATTACATCATTTGGTGTAATCATCAATACTGTATGTACAGTGCAACTACTCTTACTCTATAAGCTAATAAGATCACGCCGGCAATTCCCGCTCCGTCAGTAGTGTAACTACAGCCCAGTCCAAGTCTATAGTACTATAGTACAACTTCCCTGGCCATTAAGTCATACCATCATCGTTCCTCCTCCCTCCGAAATCCAGCCAGCCTCCTCTTTTCCCACCTTGATCCCTCCTCTCTTCCTCCTTCCTTCTTCCCTTCCTTCTCTCTTCTCCTCCCCTCCCAATTATACCATACCCACATCAATTGCTTCATCCATACCATCCTACACACTCAATTCCTTCCTCCCATCCCACCATCTTGAGACCCTAGAATCGATCAAAAACACAATGGTTCTCGCACGCCCTCAGATCCTCCGCGCCTCCGCCCGAGCCCTCGGCACCGTGCGACAAACTGTGCCCACCCAGCAATTCGCTCGTCGAACATACGCCCAAGCCGCCGAATCGACCAACAAGTCCTCCGATCTTCCTTGGTGAGTGAGATTACCTCCAGGCCCCCTTCACCTGTGTCAATCTTGCTCAATTGGCTTCCTCTTCCACTTTCCACTCACCAGTGACACCCCCCTCCCCCCAGAACCAACAAAACTAACCCCCAGAAAAAACCAGGCTCATCGGCTCCCTCGGCCTCGGCATCCCAGGAGCCTACTACCTCCTGGCGACGGGCCCCAAAGCCGCCGCCTCCTCACACGACACGCCGGACACGCACCACCACGGCGAACCCAAGGGCAAGACCTCGACCTCGGCCCCGATCGAGAAAGAAGAATCCGCCTCGGCCCAGGACTCGGCCGCTCAACCGGACCGGGACGCCGAACAGAAGACCGACTCGGAGTCGAGAGCAGCAGCCGTTCCTTCGACGGATGGGAAGGCGCCGTCGGAGGCTGATGAGGTGGGTTCCCTCTAACATCCTTTACACCGTCTCATTCTTGTACCGAAAAGTCTAGACTTCTGTACCGTGATCGACGATGCTAACTCCGACCCAAAAGCCCTCAACTCGCAAGGAAGCGGGGAATGCGTCGACCATCTCCGGTAAGCAGGAGGGGATTTCCAATGCCACTACGGATCATCCGCATGTGAATGAGCCCGGGAAGAGTGTCAAGGGGGAGGGCGAGACGGAGACGGCCAAGGTTAAGGGGACGGTGTCTCCGGATCGTCCGCAGCAGTAGATAGAGAACAAAAATTCTCGTTCGCTTCGGCCGGGGGTTTCTTGTATGATGCAATGTTTTTTCATGTATAAGACCATGAAATTTTTCTTGAGGAGTTGTATGAATCGGCAACGTACTGATATAAACTCGTATCCTGTTTGGTTCCTGCATCAGACATTGTGAGTCTAGATCTTAAAACTATCGGGAAGTAAACCAGTAAATGCTAATGCCAACTGGCATGTGATTATGCACGGGAGGTAATGTCTGGAGGAAATCGAAAGTGAATCGCACCGACCGACCGTCAGCCAGTGCGGATCTATTACTATATTAGATTAGACATCTGCAGGCGGTCCCAATGCGCCCTTCACTTCTCCGGAAAAGGAAGAAAAGATCCGCTCTCCGCACGGCCATCAGAAGAAAACAAAGAAACAGAAAAAGGAAGTGCGCAGTCGTGGCAGATTCATCGTTTATATCCATTTCAAAGTTGCATCCCCAGGTACGCCCGCCCAAATGACCGACACCACAAAACACGGTGCATGCAAAGCCAGCCGTTACCCTCATACACCCACTTGCACTTGATGACCATGCAGAGGGAAGAAGACATGGAGAAAATACAACTGTCGGGTTTGTTCACGAAAAAGAAATGGAAAATGAAAAAAAAAAAAAAACGGGTTACGAACATGGATGCCATAAAATGTTCTCGGGAATGTTAAAAGTTATAGACAAGCTCACACAAGGGTGGGCTACACGATCCCAGGATGGACCGCTGGAATGCGCACTTTCGCCGCAGCTAGATAGTAGGAGACCATTCTGCTGCCATTTGCAATTGACTAGTGCTTGTTGTTCACCGGCTGACCGTTCACAAGGACTTGAGGGGTCTTGTTCTCTTTGCTGCGGGCACTCAGGGTCGGCTCCTCGATGCCCGTTGCGATGGCGGCATGGCTGCTTGCCTCGGGAACAGGAAACTCGTCCTCCGTATCCTCGTCATCGCTTCTCTCGTCCTTCTTGATGTCACTGATGAGGTAGTTCTTCAGGATACGCAGAATCAGGAAAAGCCAGAACAAATTGACAGCTTGCAGGCTGGCCAGCAAGGTGAAGGTGATGTATTGACTGATCCAGCACTTGTACTGCTGAGTCTCCCAGTTGAGCTCGAAAGGTCCAACGGTGCGAAATTCGGTCAGAACAGCCCAGAGGATCTTCAGGTTCAGGTAGTGGCGAAGATAGATCCACATGCCGACGAACATACCGAAGTACGGCGCGGTGATCCAGTGGTCGAGGTAGTTGAGGGTCTTGGATGTCTATAACACAACCATGTTATTATCAACTTGGGTTGAGGGAGGGCTGGAGTACATACGGCAAGGAAGAAGTCAGAGATATCGTGCGTAATATACACGGCGATACCCATGTAAGTGAAATGGAACCTGTAGCTCAGCCCAATCAGGGCCAAGGTGATGATGTGGTGTGCCACCAGCTCCCTGAAGTCCTTGCGTGGCTTCTCCAACTGAAGCATCAAGACAATCGCCTGTTGCGCCCAGTAGCTCGCCTCCAGCAGGTAGTAGGCCTTGAACAACGCCTCATGCTCCCGGTGAGGAAAGCCTTCAAACATGGCCGTAGTGTTGAAATACCAGATGTCTGATCTGTACATGACGTACAGACCAAAGGGACCAAAGATTCCGAAGTAGATAGCTGTATACACCTGCTCCATGAACCGAGCAGTTTTGCCTTTTCCGCGAATGCCACAGTATACCGCAAAGGGTCGGATCCAGCGCTGCATCATAAATTCACGAGTGAATGACAAAACCACCGTGTAGAAGGAGACGAAAGCAATATCCTTGGGGCCCTTGCCGTACATGATCGGACCGCCGGGGTACTTCGGGGGCTGCGGGTAGGACAGGAAGATGGCGCTGTGCAGCGGATTCGATTTTGTCGGGTTGATCGCATACAGGAACAGAAGAACAATGAGGATCAGCAACGGCAGAAGCCAGGTGTGCTTCAGGCAAACATCCTTGAAGCGGCGCAAAGAGGACTTCTTGCGGCGTTTCGCAGGCGGCTTAGTCGACTTGTCATCGGAGGCACTGGACTGCAGCACCTAATGGTGAAGTGAGCGGAGTGGAAGGGGAGACATATGCCAGTGAGAGCCAACGTTGGGGCGTGATGTGATCATACCTTGTCCCAGTTCGGGGCTTCAGCATCAATTGGGCTGACTTCGTTCATGGTAGACATGGCCGGTGCGCCAGTGTCACCGCGGATGTCCGCACCCAGATTACTCGATCTCCGTCCTCGAACCATGCTGAACAGAGTGGCAGGATGTGACTGATAATATATCGCCTGCTTGTATGCTGGATAAAGGACCGGTGATGCCTCCCTCTTCGTATCCAACGGCCCTCGTCAAGCCACCGAAAGCAGAAAGGCGCACGGGGAAAAAGTACCGAGCGGAGCGGAATGTGAAGCGCCGGGAATTGACAGAGCGCGCGGGAAGGGGGATGATCGACCAACAGAGCGTACTGAAGGACAGCGACCCAGAGGGCAACAGGAAAAAACAAAAAAGGGCTATAAGAAAAAGAGAAAGGAGAAAAAAGGAAAAGGAGCCGCAGACGCAAGTGCGAATTGAAGGAGGGCGAACCGTGAGGAAGCAGGAGGTCGAAGAAAGAAGAAGAAGGGAAGAATGAAGAGGCGGCCCGCAAGACGGAGAAAGTGTAGCGCTAATGTTGAGTTGTGTAGACGACGGATGGTCCAAGCATCCTTCCGCTCCGGCCTCGCAATGTCTTCCTTTTACGGGCCCCCGTCTTTCTCTTTTTCCAGGGGGTTTTCTGCTTTTTCGTCTTCTTTTTCTCTATTTTTCCTTCTCTTTATTCTTCTTGCCCCAAAGTAAAATTGGATCGGTCTTCGGGCAGTTCAGTTTCCCCGACTACTCCACACGATCATTACCCTGTCGGACCATTGTCAGGCTGACCCCTGATTGTCGTGGTCTTCTTCCGTCACTGGGCAGAACTGAATAGTCTGGTACTATGTGCTCCGTAATATGCAGTACTGCATATCAGTGTATAAAAATACGATCCACGTTGGTTGTGCGCGTGCCATTGGGTCGAATCTGATTTTTAGTCTTCTTGGCAGCAATACTAACAGATTTCTGGTTTTTCATTGGCCGAGAGACTTCACCGCCTCACCTTATGTGTGTGGATATTCATTTCTCATCATGGATCAGATATGATTACGACAGCCCACCTGAAGAAGCAGAAAAGGAGATTCAGCCTCATCTTGGCAAAGGACATGTGTTGTCCTCGGTACTGTAGTAGCAGCGGTCTTCGTCTATGAAACAGCCATGTTGCATTCTGCTGGAATCAGAGGATCCATGTGTCTGAGCAATTCGAACCTTACTTGGTCCGTTATGTTTCCAGGCATAGCATTGATTATATGGAATTTGTGTTGTAAGCTGGTACTTCGTCAATGAATTCGGCTGTGGGAGCCTTGGAGGAAGCCACTAAATCCACATTTTTGATGGATGATTAGTATAGTAGCTCATCTCATTCTCAGCACCATCGCATATTAGTGAACAACCAGTGCAAACGAAGAGGCGGTGGCAGAAAAAGGCACCAAGTCAAGCCAGCCTAGCACTTAGGCCCACGATGATGGTGTTGACAACGACCTTGTCCGACGGCAAGTAGCAAGGGCTTATAGAAACTAAAAATCTCTTCAATTTGGAGCGATTCCGTTACTTTTGATGTTGATAGTCCAAAGATCGCAGATACCCAAGGTTTCGGCTGCGAACCAGTCGCATCATCGCATGGCCACGAGCAGTGGAGAAATGCCTAACTCATTCCAGCTAGGTCAATATGCACGGCTGAGATACCGTTTTCCCAAATAGGCAATCAAGTATAGCCTCCACCAGGCTCACGCTTCACAGCTTGTAGTCCACAGCATCCTTGGAAAGCAGGAAATGGCTCACTAGAGCTCGAACGGATCCTTTGTCAGGGTCATAAAAGGACATAAAAGGCGCCTCATTTCTCTCGAATGTCCCAAAAATCCAAATCACAAGTTTCACCTCGCAATGAAAGCCCAGTTCGATTCCTCTCTAAGCCTCCAAGGCAAAGTGGCCCTCATTACTGGTTCAGGCAGAAAGAGAGGCATTGGCGCCGGCATAGCCACTACTCTTGCACAACATGGTGCATCTGTTGTCATCAACTACGTCTCTTCGTCAACAGCATCCTCCGCTGCAGCAGTGGCTGAGGATATGATTGCTGCAGGCGGAAAGGTACTAGTCATCCAGGCGGACATCTCCCGCCCTGAGGAGGCACAAAGACTTGTGGGGGAGACGGTCACCGCGTTCGGGAAGATCGATATACTAGGTGAGCTTTGACCTAGCGCTTACCGAGATTTGATGGCTTACTCGAGGCTTGCAGTCAACAATGCAGGGACGGGGTTTCCTGGCCCCGCACTGAGTGCGACCCCAGAGTCTATGGCAACCACCTTCGGCGTGAACGTCTTCGGGCCTCTCTATCTGGTTCAAGCTGCCGTGGCACACATGCCTCCGCGCAGTCGTGTCATCAACATCGGCTCCGTGGCGTCAAAGTTAGGAGTTTCAGGGTCGCCAATCTATCTTGCCTCAAAGGCGGCAACGGATGCATTGACACTTGCTATGGCTGGTGAGGTAAGTTGAGATGCATCTCTACTCTTGTACAAACATGTAGTAAAAGAGTGTGCTGATTTTCCTTAGCTGGGCCGCGGTCATGGCGGCATAACCATCAACACGATTTCACCTGGTCCCGTGGATACAGACGGTGTGCCACCTCAGGTGGCAGAGAAGATTCACAAGACTATGGTGCCCATGACCCGGGTAGAAGAGAGGGTAGGCACTGTTGAGGATGTCGCGGACGCGGTGCTTCTGTTGTGCTCCGAGAGAAGTCGGTGGATATCGGGGCAAGTAATCTCAGTCAGTGGCGGAATAGTGGGTGGTTGATGGTGGCTATAAATCAACTTGTCTGTGTACTCAATTTAGGTACACGTTAGCTCGGATAAATGCGAGATGAACTGGTCGGTCTGAATGTGCAACGCGTCAACCCAGAGGATGCTCTTTACTAATTTCAATGCGTCATTGACATCGATGCCTAGAGAACTGATCACGGACCTGGTTCCCACCGTATACAAATCGATTGGTTCCGGGTCTGTAACCAATGAGACAGTCACCAGCGCCCACAGGTATAGCTTCAGGCATAGAGCATCATACTTGGTCAGGGGTATGAAGGCAACAAGAGCTGTGAATTTGCGCTGCAGGTGTGGCCATTCGCTTGAAGTGAACCGAAAGACGTCTTTCTTCAAAGCTGCAAGGAGCAACAGGAGAGCCAACCGTATGGCTTCTCTAAGAAATTTGGTTTCTTGCGGGCTAGAATGAAGATCCATTGGCCTCGACATGGACAGGAGGAAGTGTGTTGCTGGTCCGAATAATTTGATTATGGTAAGACTGTCTTCACGCTGCCATGATGGCTCGGGGTCACATTGTACTCCATCAACGGTTATTGCGACGGATATCACGTAGTTGAAGGCGACCACCACATCACAGAAGGCCCCGTCACTAATAGACAGATCGTCGAGGAGATCTCTTACCGAGGGCGCTATAACATCTGGAGGAGCCGCATCCAAGTATGCTGCAAGCCCTAATGGTTTTGGCATTCGAGGACGAGCATCCTCCGCCACACTCCCAACAACATCAAGCCTAGTCATGCAATCGTCAGCTCATGTCCAACCTTCTCAAATAATTCACATTGACATATGAAAGACATACCAAAAGGCAAATAAGGCCACATTAGGACTGAGACCATGGTACCCTCCTCTGCACCGAATGATGCGCTCAAGGCCAGTGAATTGAGTATTCCATCGGTCGCCCATTCCAACGTAAAGCTTGAGCACTAGTCAGTCTTTCAATGCAGTGACCCACGAGATTAAGCCTGCCTTACATCATGACAGATCAATCCCAGAACAGCGGTAATCACACCTTCGCTGAGACTCTCCTTGACGCTTCCCAACCGGGCCCTTACTTGCTGCACACACCTTCCGTAGTACGCTAAGCACGCGGAGCTTGTCTCGTATTTGAACTCCTGCGCGCGGACTCTTTGGTCAAAGAACATGGCCGCGTTCGCCAAGGCCACAAAGATGGCGCTGGGATCTGTCAACGCCATGGAGAACCAGACGGACCGAAACGGTCGAAAAACATAGTCCTTGTCGCTTGTCACTGTATTTGGTAAGCCTTACACTTAGATGGTAGGATGGATTGATCTGTGGGGAGTGTACTGAAGTGCAACAGCTGTAGGTCTCTGTCGTCGAGATGAACGGGGTAGTAAGCAGTATTGCATGGGTCGATAGAAGCCGGAACGCTCGTGTTCGTCAATGATGGGAGAGGATCGACGGCCGTTCTGCTTGGATTGATGGTTTGCCTCACCGACAAGGCCCAAGTTCGTGGCTTTCGCTGTGTCCGACGCGATCTCCCGATGTCCCGCATGACAGTACGTCGGATGGTCCGCTGGGTGGAGGCGGCCTTGATTTCATCGGGTCGCGATATGTTCACAAAGACCAGGTCGTCTTGTTGAATGTGTGGTTGCTTCATCATGCAGGAGGTGTCTGTAAGCGTGGGGTAGGAAGGAAGGAAGCAATCGCAGGGTTTTGAGATTGGGTTCGATGGCAGAAAGATCACACTAGGCCGGGTGGAGGATAATGCATCCTACTATTGACTCACTCCCTCGTAAGCTGTTTGGATCCACTCTCAATTTTACATAGGTGGCGGAACTTAGTGAAGTGGCAGTCACTCTGTAATATGCACCCTTTCATAAAGCCTCCTTTTCCTGTACCATTGTCTTCTAATTCGGATTTATCAGGTATATCTGCTCCCAATGCCGTATTGAATCTCTCCCTCATTCAGAACACATATGACTCCCATACCAGGAATCTGAATCGGAAAGTCCTGGGCACCCTGGTCTACCTCTGGTATCTAGCTAAGCAGTTGAATCAAATGGTCTGCGATCAAACTCCCCACAAGATCATAGCCATCTGGTTTCATATGAACTCCGTCATCCCAGATCTTCTCCTTGAAGTCCTGTGCAGCGCTGTGATAGGGAACCTCTTTATGAAGATCGAAGGCATAACTACTCAGTCAGCTTAGACCAATTCTCACCTTGGAGAGGTAGAAACTCACAAGCTATCGGCATTATAGCTCAAGATCTGTGAGTTGAGATCCGCCCGTGCATTATCCAAGCGCTGATGCACTGCCCCGCATTCAGGGACTGTCAGAGCTAGCACATTGGCGCCGCTTTTAATAGCCATGGTCCAGGCCTGAATCAACCCGGGAAGGATCTTTTCAGCGGGGTACATGTAGCCGAGGTCACTGCGTATATCACAGATCAGTATTGAACAGAGAGTGAATCAGGAAGAGGAGATCCCCTAGTACTTTGTCCCACCAAGCATGACCACCCAATCATAAGATGTTGCTGCGCCTGAAAGGGTTCGATCTTTCGGTTAATTTCTCACCGGTGTATGACAGAAGTAGGTAGGGCATGTAGGACGCTTGGAGGCTTACATTTTTGCTCCAAGCGAGGCAGAAAGCGCCCCGGGGGGCTATTGACCAAGTCGCCTGGAAGCCCGTCGACATCAATCCGGATGGTGTGGGTTGGAAATGCAGCCTTGAGGCGTTCTTCCAGTTTCCATGCGTAAGGGTGATATTCCAGCCCATAGTTGCAGAATCCTGCTGTCAAGGACTTGCCGAAGCAGAGGATTGACAATGATTCGCTCATTATACGGGCGGTATGACGACGACGCTATGCGAATATTCTATAAAAGGTGTTTGTATTGAGGAAAGGAGTGAATGGAACGGTGAGACACTGAAACTTTGGAAGACAAGGCTGGAAGACTGAACGCGGCTACGCGGGGTAGTTTGGTGGTTCTCTGTTGCTGTAAGGCTGGCTGTGTCGGACGCCCCTTCTACATACCTTCGTGACTGGCTCGACGTCCCAGTCTAAATTCTGAGATAATCTCTTCAATCTCACTACGTGACTGCATGAGATGAACTAGGAGGTGTTCCAACTTTCGCCCCTCCAGCACGCACGAGTCACAGTCACAAATAATGGGAGAGAAACTCCCCACTCCATCAATATGCACCTCGATGCATCGATGCAAGACATTATGGCTTATCTTGACAGGATTGTGACACAAATTAGACCTCTCCTGCACTGGCAGCCATGCGATAGACCCAGTCTTACCTGCTCAAATGGGATTTTACATGCCAGAGATTAGTACCTATAATCAACAGCACTCCAACTACTTGTTCAAAGCTTTCATTTCTTCATCTCAGAATATCTCTTATCACGATGCTCCAGCTACCGACAGCTGAAGTCAGCAGTCATCGCTATCGTGGAAGCCTTATCTGGCATGGTTGGATACTCCATGGCGATCGCTCAGGCACCCAGTCACCATGGCGCAGCCTAGTGAGATAGCTTCCAGCTGGCTACAGATATGCTATAGGAGCTTGCTCTAGGATGTTTCAGTCGGGACATTGTTGCAAACTGTGGTTTGCCCTCGGGCTAAGGGCCTTTGGGCATCTATAAGCGATCTAGCGCTCTGATTCACTGGCTGTTAGCCACGAATATACTAAACAAACTTTTGTGAGATGACCACTGATCGGTGAATAATGGGAAATCATGCTCATCAGCTGATCTACCTTTCGTGTTGTTATATATGAACACAAAATGTCTTCCTCCCTCGTTCATCTCCACCTACCAGCCTCAAGCTGAGTGCCATCATGGCCACGATGTCACAGAACATCCCAGAACATTGCGCTGTCCTTGTGATTGGTGGTGGACCAGGTGGCTCATACTGTGCTGCTGCTCTGGCTCGAGAGGGCATTGATACAGTGGTACTGGAAGCAGATCAGTTCCCTCGGTAAATACCATCCTTTCGGCTCCTTTTTAGCGATCTGTTCCATTGCAAGACTGAGCCCTTTCCAGTTACCATATCGGGGAGAGCATGCTGCCATCAATGCGCCATCTGCTTCGTTTCATTGACTTGGATCAGGCTTTCGACCATTATGGCTTCACGAAGAAGGTAACCTGTTCTTCCACTACTCGCGACCGTAACAACTAATCAAGGGCGTCTAGTTCGGTGCATCCTTCAAGTTGGATAAAGCCAAGCGAGCCGGGAGTATGGTACTGCCAAGTTTTCTTCTGTATCCCATTGCTAATAGCTCTCTGTGGTGTACAGATACTGATTTCCTCGCCGCTGGGGGGGCCGACAACTACGCGTGGAATGTTGTCCGCTCTGAGGCTGACCTTCTGATGTTTCAGCACGCAGCGACATGCGGCGCAAAGACTTTCGACGGTGTCAAGGTCAAGTCCATCCAATTTGCTCCCGATGCGAGCTCTCAGCTTGGCAAGCCTGTTTCCGCATCTTATGTGAGCCAACTAGACGAGTCTCGTGAGGTCAGAGAAATTGCCTTCGACTATCTGGTCGATGCGAGTGGTCGAAGGGGTTTGCTTAGCACTGAGTACCTCCATAACCGCCGATACAACGAGAGTCTCAAGAATATCGCCCACTGGGGGTACTGGAAAGGAGCTGAACCTTATGCAAAGGATACGCGCCTGGAGAATCAACCTTTCTTCGAGGCATTGCACGGTAACCATAAAATCACCCTCATCCTTCCTTATCGCTATACTAACCGGTCTTGCCTCGATCATTAGACGAAAGTGGCTGGGTCTGGCTTATTCCTCTACACAACGGGACCGTTTCGGTGGGAATTGTGAGAACCGCAGTACTTGGACTGGGAAGAAGCGCGAGTCTGGCTTGGGGCAGGAGGAGTTCTACCATCACACGCTGAAATTGGTACCGGAAATCCAGCGTCTGCTTATTAAAGCAGAGCTCATCAGCCCTATCAAATCAGCTTGCGACTACTCCTACAGCGCCTCTGCGTATGCAATGTCGCATGCTCGCATTGTTGGTGATGCAGGATGCTTCATCGACCCTTACTTCTCGTCGGGCGTTCACCTGGCCCTGGTCGGTGGTCTTTCGGCAGCCACAACTATCTGTGCTGCTTTGCGTGGCGACTGCGATGAAGCGCTGGCTGCATCCTGGCACTCTGACAAGGTTTCCGACAGCTACATCCGTTTCATGCTCGTGGTTATGAGCGCGTACCAGCAGATTCGGAGTCAATCGAAACCGGTCTTGAGTGATCTTCACGAAGACAATTTCGACCGCGCATTCAACATCATCCGACCCAGTAAGCCTGTTGCCCTCTCCTTGTCTAACTCGTGCTTTTCAACGCGCTAAGTAACGCATGTATAGTCATTCAGGGAACCGCCGATGTCAGTCCGGACAAAATAACCCAGGAAGAGCTAGATCAGACTATCAAACTCTGTGCTGCTGCCCATGGATCGGAGGATGAGCTTCGTCATCACGTGAGAAAACTATTGCGCACTGAAGACACCCTGAACATGGACAGCTTCAGTACGGATGAAATCTATGGCTTTGTGCCGAATCTCAAGCAGGGGAACCTGGGCTTAGTCAAAAGTGCTGCCTAGCTGTGAGATCGGGTGTACCGTTGGACGTGTCCATTGTTGTCATTCTTTGGTTCTTGGTCGTGCCATTGAACTTGGTCAGTGACTCGAGTCGATCATGTACAGTACATTGGATTTTCCCGAGCTTTCAAAATTGTCCGTCTGTACCCATCTTCGCAGGTTACTGCGTGTTTAAAGTGACACTATCCTGATTTCTGACTCAACCCAAGCGTAATAAACTCACTCAATAATCCTTGTAGGCTTTTTGACCTCCTAGAAACACTTTTTGAACTGTCTTCCTCATAGAAATTGAGTTATAGCAGCATCTCGCATCTATGTTCATGATTATACAGTACTATCTACTAACCTTAACCCTGTATTACGAGCAACCCCGTTTTGTTTCCAGACAATCATCGGATGAATATACACCACAAACATCCTATAGCACACTGTGCTACAGCTTGAACCTCTTCATAAATTTCTTACTCTGGTAATATAAGTATACTATGCTTAATACCCTCAAACAGCGACGCGAAAAGACGACCAAGAACCAAACCACAAACATCACCCCTCAACAAGAAAGGCCCACCACACCCCACACAGGTCATCAAAATCCGCAAAACAAGACAGTAGACTAAATAGAATAGTCAGTCAATCCTCACAAGCTCAATTGCTCGCTATAAGCCCCTCATGCCGGCCCCGGGGGTGATGGTTCCTGTTACTACCATCATTCGTGGAGGTGGTGCCGGCTCATCCGGTCCGGGAGGGAGGGCATAAATCTACGAAGCAAAAATGCCGTGAATTCTATGGACATCAACGGACATTTGCCGTCAAGCATAAAGGACCTAAAATACCAGGGTGGCGGAGCATTTCCAAGACATGATGTGATTCATTTTCATTTTGCGGGGTTTAGGCGATGCGGACGTTGGCAACAGGCAAGCTACTTCATATACTTTGTTGGCTTCTCTATGCATTGTGGAGCATGCTAGCAGGCAAAGAATTGGGAGTATTATAAGCTTGGGGTGAAGGGTTGGATGGTGTACGGCTAAGATAAACGTTGGGAAAGCGAGACATTTTGTGAGAGACACGCCCCTTAGAGAAGAAATACGAAACATACTGTCGGTCGTCGCGTGCGACATTCGCAGCGCACAGTGCCGCCCGAGCCGAGCGCCAGCAAGAATCAACAGAGCAAATGCTGGTATGAAAGCGACGAGTATTATCATGTCAAGGTAGGTCAGAGCCATTTGGATGGGACAGGGAGGGGGTGAGGCAAGCTGAGGACGATGGTTGGTTTTGAGACAGGTGTTGAGAATGGACGAGCACTTTGATATTGCAAACCGGAGGTCCAAGACTTTGTGGGAGAGTGAAAGTTATCGGAAGTGTCTTTCAGGATGAAGAGATCAAGGCACAATGTTATTGCTTTCCAGGGCGGACGCAACGGGCGAGCGAAGACGGATCGAATAGTATGCGACTGCTTCGGTTGGGACTTTCGATCAACCCACCTGAACCGCATACGTAAATGGAGGGAGAGACTGTATCTGCATGGGTTACCCAGTCTAGCGAAGTGTAAGAAATGCAGTGATCTCTTCGGTTTGTGAGATGAGAAAGGATGTGAGATAGAGCCAGATTCTGTTGTAAGGAGCAACTTTTGAGGACAGAACAGTATATAGATCAAGACAAACGAGTATTTGATTTCTGTATACGACCATTCGATACGGCAGCTGCGAACTTTTTGTCACCGATTGTGATCGTGAGCAGATCGGTTTCTCTCTTTCCTAGTTTTGAGATATTGTTGTGCCAATTGTCAAGTATGATAATCACTGCTTCTCTGAGACATGTGCCATGACCTTCGTACTCGATGAAGATAGATATCGTCCTGGTGGTTGTCATTGCACGTCCGCTGACTTTAATTCCATCAATGATTGTTGAGACACGATGACCTTGCTTGAAAGTTGGGGCACATAGATTTAATATCTATAATGCACTTGGTTCAGGAGTGTAGGAACATAGAGTGTCCATAGGAGAATCGCAAGGTACGTGCAGCAGGGTCGGATATCTGATAGTGCTGAGGTAGGCATCCGCTCAACTTCTTCGAATCTATGACTGGTTACTCCAACTGGTTTTGCTCCCGCCCCAACCTTGAAGTGGCTCGCATGAACCCCTTCAGTAACCTTATACCAATCTCTCCTACCGAGCCAGAAAACCACTTCCCTCGATTTGTTGCATACTTCAACCACGACACCGGCTCCAGTCGGCGAGGACATCGAAGCTCGCACGAGGCAAGCCTCACCAACCCTTCGCCAGTCTTCCACCCCTTTCTTGCAACAACCCTTGTCTCTCCGGCGCCTCAGCCACATTACCATAGTAGCCTGGACTTGAGGCCATAACGACCCCCTACTCGTTAGACACATTGGTGATGTTGGGAGCGACTATGAATGATCCTCTTGACTCTGCGAACGCATACGTTATCTACTTCAATCTGACTCTGTTCAAGGAGAATAAATCTGATCAGAAGCGCTCACGAGATCCAGCCGAATCTATTCTGTTGTTCTTATCAATACGGGCACGTCCAGGTTCTTCGGCATCGAACCTTCATCGACCATAAATCATTTCCGTCCAATATTAGGCTATCCCTCCCAGAGTACGGGATGCTTCGTAACGCCTGCAAGGAACGGTATACCGATCGACAGAAAGCCCTACAGGGGTAATCAACTGCAGACATAACAGGAGAGCATTGTGCTGTCACACGGGATGTGACATCAGATCATCTTTCGTCCCAGCGCTTAAGCCACCGAAGAAACTTTATTTCTGTTCATCAAGTCAATTTCAATGCCTAGATGAGGTCCTATCTATGGAACGACTCTGCACAGCAGGTCTTATAGCGAACGGATAGTTAGGTGTTCGAGAGTCAAAAAGCAAAACGAAATGAGCCCAGCCCGGCTCGATCAGGCAACCTTACGATCTGGAGTCGTACGCGCTACCAATTGCGCCATAGGCCCATTTGTTGACATGTAACTCTGGCTAATGTTATATGTGCTCTTTTCTGGGGTACCCTCGCCATCCCGATCTAAAATTTGAGGACGAAAACTGTAGGGCCCGGCCAGCCGGGCTTTATTATGCTTGCCCCAGGCGGTCAAATTCTCAATAAGGACCAATGAGTCCACAGTTAGGCCTAATCATGGGTATGAGTAGGCACTGCGGGTAATGTTAGCCGAACGGCTATTGTTTTGAATAAGTCCCATTATTTATTCCTTACAAAAACTGTAGCAATGTGGTCGGTAAAATATACTGTGGCGGATATAAACCTAGCTCGGCAGATCGCTTGCGGGGAATAGCATCTCGCAACATTGATAGCACCATTCGCAGCACTTGGAGGTATCTCAGTAGGCATTGCATAAAAGGAATAGCCTGCAGTTTGTGGTCGAGTGTGTTGGAACTTGCACGCCCCGGGTATTGCCTTCGCGATTCGATGTCGATTTCTTAGGGACTGGGATCTTCGGTCATCCCATGGTGTGCAAGTGATGCATGGATTGCAGGCACGTGCTTCTATGGCTGCCTGCATGAGTGCCTGCGTCACGCACATGGGGTCGGATTCATCGACCATAGATGATTCACACGGGAGTACACTGGGATTTCAAGGGGTCTTTCCTCGGTGATGAAGACGAGGGAATCTCGAGCAAAAAGAATGGATGAGCCCAGCCCGGCTCGATCAGGCAACCTTACGATCTGGAGTCGTACGCGCTACCAATTGCGCCATAGGCCCATATGGGTGATAAATTATTTTTTGATGATATATATGAGTCAATTAAATCCAGCAGATGTAACTATATCTTCGTCGACTACCAACTCGATATCGAATTCTACCTCTTCTACCCATGATCAAATTTCAGACACATCGAGTTCATTTCTTCTACCAAGCCTACCACCGAGACACGGTATGATCATTCCACAGATTTCAAGGGGCCCTGAACCAGCCGACCACAAGCTGTAAGACAGGGAGACAACGTTCGTCCCCGAGAGATTGAGCACGCCAGTCTGGCCCTTTCGTTGGCTCGCATCAGCTGTTCATCTATTTGTCAATGCCAATTATGACTAACGAGTATCGTCGCACTGATTACGTCACTATTGCCATCATATCGAGTGCAACTCCTGCCATCGCGATGGTCACCAGTAACTACGCAACGCCGACTAACACGCACTCGAAGGGGCCGATCCCATCCACCCCCCTCGAACATTAATGCGAGTGAACACTACATCACCGTATCACAGACAGATGGGTACTTTCTCCCGTTATGCGACATCAACATGATTGTGCTGCAGAGGTCTACTCCATCGTGAGTTTTCCTGGGATCAAGCACCGACCTTGAAGCAGAACGTGATCAATTCCAAGCACCCGACATCAGCTGCCAAGGTCCACAAGGAGGCTTCGACTCTTGGTGCTTGTTACATCTACTTGATTTCATGAGTCACTATGTGGAGTATGGTGGAATGTCAATTTATACTTGGAGCGAACGGACCAATAGAGAAGTCTCACATTCGTATTCATCGGATCAGGAGCCGGAGAATCGGCATGCAATAACCAGTCTAGCAGAGCGTTCCAACTCAGCGCAGCCCACAAGTCTACCGCCTCAGCCACAGACATAAGTCGAAGGTCCCTCTTCTTGCGAAAGCTCAGGAGAACGCGAATTCTCCACTGTCGGCCATTGTCACCATTCTTCATGAGCTTGGAAAATCTTAGCACACCTGAATTACATGGAGAAAACAGTGCAAATTTGAACCCACCATGAGACCAAGAGCCCTATTTCGCTGCATTCCTGCTGTTGGGAGCATTGCATGTCAAGGTGCGGTCTCTTCCAACCACACAACCCCAGAGACCAATTTCCTGATCGGGTATTACGAGGGTTCGCTGCAATCCAAAGTAAGACATCCGCATTTCTGATCAACAATGATTGGCCATACCAGAATTGGTTTAATGTGCTGTGGCCAACCCATGGGGCCACTCATAACACCCGCTGGGTCATCCAAGGGTACTAATGGAGCTTGGCTTATCTGATCTGATTAGATTGTTCGCTTTGATCGTCGCAGATGAGGAGCGGCCAAGCAACTTGGCAACGAGGGGTGGAAAGAAAGAGTGTCCTAGTGAAGTATGTGGGTACCAAGAATTATATACGTATGGACGAGAGAGCCAAGGGATCCATGGCTCTCAGACAGTGCTCGGATCCTTTCTCTCGTGGACTTGGCCGTTTTCCAGCAAGGCTGTATAGGGCGGACTCAGTCAGTCCGCTAAGACTTTGCTCGGCAACATCTGATAGTTTTGAATCTTCCATGGGCCCATGGTGTCAGTCATGATAGGCACTAGGCAAAAAAGCTCTTTGCACAGACGGCCCTATAACTGTGGAGATCATCATTTGATTCCTTATCTGATTCGATTAGAGCTATTAATGCTGAATCAGATAACAGTTTTTTTCATGCTCATAGAGTCTAAGGAGCAGCATCCGCGAGGATAAATATGTATCTTCGTCCTACGTCCCCAATGCATTCTTGCTTCGGCGCGTAGCCTGAATCTAGGTCAACCACACAATGGCGGACGACAAGATCACTAATGTCACCAATGCAAGAGCAGACTTAGACGTCGACCATGAAGCCCTCAAGACCATCCCGGACGGGAGACAGTCTCAGGGCGTCTCCCGCATGGAGGCCGTCTACCGCGAAGCCAAGTCCCACCGAAAGTCGCTTTGGCTGATCGGCATCTCGGTCCTCGTGTGTGCGTGGGCATATTCACTGGATTCTTCTACAACCTCGTACTACTCCGTCGATGCCTCGTCCTATTTCAAGCAGCACAGCTCAGTACTATCGACCCTGTCCATTGCAACCAGCATCATCAGCGCTGTGAGCAAGCCCTTCATTGCGAAGATCTCCGATATCACCTCACGCCCCTACACATATATCTTAACCCTCTTCTTCTATGTCATTGGATACATCATCGCCGCAACCTGCAAGACTGTTTCCGCATACATCGTCGGCGAGGTCTTCGTCGCAATCGGCAGCTCGGGCTTGGACCTGACTAACGACATCATCGTGGCGGACCTGACCCCCTTGGAGTGGCGCGGGTTTGCCAGCTCGATGCTCTCGACCCCGTTCATCATCAACACCTGGTTTGCTGGCAGGATTGTAGATGCTATCGATGGCCGAGGCCAGTGGCGATGGGGCTACGGCATGTTCGCCATCATCATGCCTGTGGCACTGGGTCCAGCCGTGGCGACCCTAATACATCTTGATCGTAAAGCCAAGAAGCACGGAATCGTTAACATTGCTTCCTCGAACACAGCACGGCGTGCTGCTCGAGACCTCGCTGCAGCTGAGGGCCACAGTGTACCCGGGGAATGGGTCGTGGCGCCTGCTGCTTCATCCACGCAATCCTGGATGAATGCTTTCAAACACAACCTGGAAGAGATCGACGCCTTCGGTCTGATTCTTTTAGGGTTCGGATGGTCGCTACTGCTTCTGCCATTCTCTCTCAAGACCTACGCCGATGGCGGCTGGCGCAACCAATCCCTCATCGCCATGATGATAGTGGGTGGACTGCTATTGATCGCCTATATCATCTATGAAATGAAGTGGGCGCGTGTCCCCAGCGCCCCTCGTCGACTCATCTTCAACAAAACCTTCATCATGTCCATCGTTATCGATAGTTTCTATATGCGTACGTTATCCCCGGACAGCCCTTCGTCATCATCCTATACGCAAATCACAACGCTAACACCTCCCGCTTCCCTGCCATGACCAGTTGCCGGAAACATGCGCGGCCTCTACTGGAGCTCCTACGTCTACGTCTCAAAGCCGTGGTCCTACCAGAACTGGGTCTACTACAGCAACACCCTAACGCTAGCTCTCTGCATCGCAGGCCCCCTGACCGGTCTCCTCCAACGCTGGACGCACCGCTACAAAACTATCCAGATCACGGGTCTGTGCATCAAGATCATCGGCATGGGCATCCTGCTGGACGGCCACCGCGTGACCGCCAGCACCGCCGCGATGATCCTGTCCATGATCCTGATCGGCTTCGGCGGGTCGATGTCCGTCGTCGGGTCGCGCGTCGCCTCCCAGGCCTCGGTGCCGCACCAGGACGTCGCCCTCGCCATCTCGCTCCTGTCCCTGTGGTCGAAGATCGGCAGCGCCATCGGCTCCGCCATCGTGGCCGTCATCTGGGCCGCGCAGATGCCCCGCCAGCTGCGCGCGCACCTGCCCGCGACCGCTACGCAGTCCGACGTGCGCAAGCTGTTCGGCAGCCCCAAGTCCATCCGCACGCTGTACGCGATCGATGACCCCATGCGCGTCGGCGCCGTCGAGGCCTACCGCCGTACCCTGTACTACTGTCTGGCCCCCGCGCTGGCGCTGGCCTTCGTGCCGCTCGTCGCCGCCTGGTTCCAGACGGATTTCTTCCTGGGTAAGGCGCAGAATGCGGTCGTGCCGGTCGGCAATGATGATCTGGCTCTGCGGGAGGAGGAGAGGAAGAGGGAAAAGGAAAGGGCTGAGGTCAAGGGGAAGCGGGAGGCTTTCTTGAGGTTTTGGGCGGGGAGGTAGAGTCCACCTTCGTCTTCGAATCCGGTTCTGTGTTCTCTTGGTTTGTGATTGATGCATGCGTTTGTGGATGAATTATTCGTTTTATTAGGGGAAAAGTTGTATTTGATTTCGGACAATGATATGTAGGCCGTGGGAATGTGGTGGGCATAGTAGTGTGTGTTAAGATCGAAGCTGTGCAGTTCAGATCTGAAGATGACTGCGGACGCTGCGTACCTGAGAAGTAGCAGCAGCAGCAGCAGCTACAATCAGACTTAGAGTCAGTCAGTTCATTGGGCCACTGAACTCCGAGTGGTTCCAGTAGTCGGATTCTCAATCAGAATCGGGCTTTGAGCCCACTGTGCGAACGTCGGCCTGCGCTTTCTTCCGTACTGGGGCAGAGTGACAGGCTGACATTACGAACCCCCATGCAGAAGGTGTCACTGCGTGGCAATAAATCTCAAACTGGACTATCTCATAAGCAAAGTGAATCATCGCATCTCAATTTCATTATACATAAAGTAAAGAAAGGTTCAAGGTCGCCCGGTCAAATCAACCGAAATAGAAAAACGGCGAAATATGACACCATAGAAGATGGAGAGACACCAAGACCAGGATCAACAGAATCACGGGGTTATTATATTTGAAAGAGACCCTATCAACCAGTCTTAGTATACATACATGGAACGAAGTAATCATAGCGAGAAAAGAAGGCAGGCAGCAACAAGACAACTTCAATTCCATACACAAGCCAGAAAAAAAAAAGGAACATCAAAGATTATTGGCATTGCTCATATCTTGCTTTGGTTCTTCTCTTCATTCGCTCATTTCTTCTTGTCCACCATAACATGCATACAAATAACAATACATTCGTTTATTAAGTGTGAGTGTGAGAGTGTTTTTTGTTTTTGTTTTTTTGTTCACTTACACCTGGGCGGTGCAATCCACCGAGTTGCAGCACTGGTCCTTGCCGTTCTTCCAGATGCAGTTGTTGTTGGGGTGACGGACGTCGCAGGGCACCTCGGTGATATCGATGGGGATGCATGACTGCTGGTCATAGGTCGTGAAGGTGAAGGCAGGGGTCAGGGCGGGGTAGGCAACGCCCAGACCGTTGTCGTATCCGGTCAGGCAGTACTTGCCGCAGGGCCACTTGGTGAGGGAGAACTCGCCCGCCTTGTCCCAGTGCACGGTCTTGCCGATCTGGCCGCCGTTGTGGGCGTTGTTGAGCCACAGCCCAGGCTGCTGGCCGTCAACAGGGTTGCCGTGCAGGTCCTTGATGCGGAAGCCGTCCTCGGGGTTGACGGGGAGGTTGGGCGTGCAGACTTCGTCCTTGCAGAGCTGGAACTTGCCGAACTTCTGCTGGAGGTCGTCCTGGGCGGCGAGGTAGTAACCCTCAGCGTTGAAGCCGAGACGCTCGGCGTTCTCCCAGGTGAAAGTATAGCACTTGCCTGCGGGAAGACCGTCAGTTTAGCTACCTGGAACTTGCAAGGATGGGAGATTCCAGTGATTATAACTTACCAGTGGAGATACCGGAGGTGCAGGTACGCTCACAGTTGCCCAGAGCGTTCTCGAAGTATCCGGCGGGGCAGACACACTTGTTGTTCACCAGCACTTTGCCCTTAGTACACACAGGCTGAGGGGTCTTGCAGACCTTGCCATCGAAGATCTGGCTGATAGGGCAGCAGCGGTACCCAGTTCTGTTGGAGCCAGCAAGCTCGTGGCCCTCGCCGCAGCAGTCAAAGGCAGTGTCAATGCTGCCAATAAGCTGCTGAGAGGGGTAGCAGCAGGCAGCATAACGTCCAGACGCGCTGAAGGTGAGGTGCTTGCCGGACGCGGGAGCGCAACGGAAGTACTCCTCGAAGTCGGAGCGGGGATCGGAGAAGACAATCTGATCCCCATGGCGGACACCAGTGCCGTCCATCTCCGCGATCTGCACATTGCGAGCGCCGAGATCGGTCCGGATCGCGGCGTTAGTGCCAGCGGCCTGCAGCAGGAGGGCCACAAGGCTCCAGGAAGTAACAGCCTTCATTTTGTATATGTGAAAGGAGAAGGACGCGAGGAGGAATGGAGGACTGCTTCGCACAGAGGAGGGACTGACGAGCGAGGATCGTCTCTTATTTAAGTCTTCCCCGGGCAAGAGTCTTCCAGCGCAGAAGCATTTTCAACATGGCGGGCGAGACTGAGCTTCGCATTTCAGCTAGGTGGATCATCGAGCTATGGTGGACCTGGTGAAAGTTTTTCATGACGGAGCCCGTCCCATTTGTGCGTTCGAGGCCCGACATGGAGGACCCATGCCCGGAAGGGAAAGCAGTATCTCAAGGTCTCAACCTCAGTCACCGCTCCTCGATAACGATCAGACCAGTGCGTCGATTGACTCACCGTGTATCGCTCAGGTAAATACCTGGAGTGTTTTCAGCTCCGCTGTGATCAGCCACCGGGGTCGAAAGCTTTGAAGATGGAACGAGCTCGTCTCCACATTGAGGAATTTGCCGGGATAGAATCAGGTCTGGTATCGCGATGAAGGGTTGATGACCTCATTGCATGAATTCTGTCGTGGACAACTCTCCCCATCTTTAATGCGAGAGCAACGTGGAATCCGGAAGATCAAAGCAAGCTCTCCCCACATATTGCTTCTCCTCCCAGACTCTGCATGCAGCTTGACAGATTTTCCACCACGGATCTGTCGGCCAGCTGGGTGGCGATGGAGAGATTCTCGAGAGCGAGCTAGACCAGACTAGACTATACAAAGTCGATACATACTGCCATTTTAGGATTAGATCGAATAAGTCTCGTCCTTGGCGTTGGTCAGGTGTTTTAGCCTCGATTTGCCCTCTCCGATCGGTTGTTTTGACCACATATTGATACGGGCGTGAAGTCCAAGTTGTCCAAGTGATGAAGCGCGGTGGGTCAATTAGGTCTTGCCTGGTGTTGATCTCGATATTTCAATATCGAATCAATCGGCAAGTCCGACGCAAGTGAACACTAGTATTCGCATGCGTTTATCACAGCCGGGGAAAATTGAGTTCGACAGCCATTCCTTGGAGGCTTCTCGAAACACGGCAAGGTTTAGCGATCTAGCCGGCCAGACTGCTTTTGTGGGGAGGGACGAGAAGCTACTTGGCAATAGTGGAAGATCTCTCGAATTGGCGGTGTGTCGTGTCAGTGGAAGGTCTGTCTGCCTGTTTGAAAATGTGAATTCTGAGCCCGAACACTTTGAATGAGGACATTTTTTTCGATTGACATTCTGTCATTCATCTCGGAAAATATGCAGTTAAACTTTGTCCTCATGAACGGGACGCGTGAAAATATTTGCCTCACTGCGCCGAGCCACAATCTGGAGTGCTCGTGTCAGCTAGTCTCGTTCATGGAGCTTCTCGCTCCATGCCGGCTCCACCCGCTGCATCTTCCCGTCCGTGTTTTGGCTATGCAGGCATATCTTGCCGATGTAGTCCGTAGATCCTCAACGTTCCGCCACTCTCATTGAGACTCAGGACAACAACAGAGAATTCTTCAGTAGGCCTTGGGGCAGCACATCAATTTCACAAAATTGTCAGCGACCCTGGAAAATTATTCAGGTCAGACCAATTGTAGGCTTGGACTGTCATATGGCCATGATCTTTCACAGAGACGTTCTTGGGGCTATAGAAATCGAAGGACCAGACGACCGTGAGGCGAGATGCGAGCAGTAGGAGGGAAACGATAAATCTGGAGTCTGATTGCCAAAGGTAGGAGAGTTATATGGGCTGATACGATTGGTTGGGAGCCATCTAGGTCAAGCTGGGAAAGTGCTTGACTCAGGTTGGAGAGCATGTATGCAAGTCCAGGGCGTGGTGAAACATAAAAATGGTCGAGACTCGCGAGATATTCCCCGGTCGGACTATAAGTATTCCTCGAAGACAGGGAAGGAAGGAAGCCTCTCTCGTTTGGCTCTTGCAGGCGACTTCGCATTTTGACCCAATCGTATAAAATAGCCACATCCCGAATCGTCACCTGTCTCGTTAAGTAAGCAACATTGCTTTGCCCTGCAATGAACGGTGATCGGTGCCAATGGAGCAGCCGGTGATGAGAGTGCTAAGTCATCGGCTGCATCTCCTCCATAAGGCCAACTGGGTCACAAGCCCTCACGCCTCTTTTCAAAGTATCCCATAGCCATTGATGCCACGATGTGTGGTAGGGGCTGAGGCGGCCGTCGGGTGTATCAGGACAATGACAATGTACCATTGTGAGCTTATAATGACAGCTGATACAAAGGGACTGTACTGGAATGGCACAGTTCAGAGTTTGGAATCAAGGCTGCGGTGGGCGGGAGTTTGGACAGAAGATCGATCAAAAATTAGATGATGGGTTCTTGATGGGTTGGTTCTTGCTTGACAGCCTAAGGCTACAAGAACTGTAAAAGTTACCCGGCTTACATCAGACCAGGCCAAACATTCGTTCCCTGAAGGCATGCAACAAACAAGCAAGAACGGACAGCACTTCCTTTCCAGTCTCACTTCATCTTGCTTTCATACCTCCTGCCACCGTTCCATTCATGCGAGGTCGATAGCAAACCTGTCGCACCCACAGGCTACTGCTGTTGTATTGCACAGTTGTATTTGTGTCCTCCGCCCGATTTTTAATCTTAAATCCAAGTCGTACCCTACTCCTCTTGCGCCAGTGTACAGTACAGTAGGTCGCACTGATGACCAACTGCAGCCAGACACATCGTGCGATTTTTTCATTCGAGGATATATCCTCGACTGTCTCACGAGTATCATCCTCAATTCCGGGGATTCAAAAGTGTCAGATGCACACAGATGCGCAGATGCGCAGATACGCAGATATGCAGATACGCAGATAAGAACCCCTCACGGACTGGACCTCACGCCGTGGCAGGCCTCGGCTCTCGCTCCTTATCTTCCCTCCCCCGCGTACGAGTGCCCAGACACCTGGTCAAAGACATTTCTCGCCACGAATCCTTTATATCATCGAACAATTCGATAATACACAATGCTTTGACTTTCGAACTTCCTTCCATTATCCTAGGAACATGCGCCTGCTTCGGATTGGCTCGATTCGTATTGATGGTGGGAATTTAATATACGTGTTCGCGCGACGAAAGTCAATGGAGGCCAAGACTTTATTGGCGTTCTGTTGACGTATGGGTGGAAGGCCAAGACACGCTACTTATCAGTCCCAAAGGAAGGTTGCCCTGAACCTTCCCCACGCTCTGTTGCGGAGGGAGGTTTGCTTTTCCGTCGAGATTGGGTTCACCTTGTGACTTGCGTCGATAACCACGTGGATGGTAGTACGGCAAACGAACTGGAATGCCTAGGAGACATATACTGCCACGAACATGCTGGAGCGAGTGTCCAGCAGGGCTTCCAGCAATCACGACAATTGTTGGTGCAAGACGTCTTCCAGTGAGGTTCTTGCGTCTTTGGTCCCGTTGACCACTAGCGCGGATAGGGCTACATTGCATCTATGGTGGAATCACATTAGCCTATGCGCAGAACAAATCATCGGGCTTAGATCGTGGCCCTAGGAGATTTGGCGTCGGTGGTCCGTAGGAATCCCGTGGTAGGTTTGATTCCAGATTTGCCGCCTGCCATGCCGATGCTACGTTGACAGCATATCGATGGAGTTATCTCCCTGGCAGGTTTAGCCCTGTCTTATCTTCCAGCTCATGGCACCACTCACGTTGGGCATTTTACCAACGACCCTTGCCAGAGAATCCCTCGAAAGTGCATCAAGGTGTGATGGCGCAGCGGAAATTCGCGGACTGATAACGCCACTCAATGGCGTGAGTGATTTACCCTTCATTCTGCGTCCGCAGTAGTAGGCCAACCTAGACGCGGCAATGGCTCACTTACTATTTCAACTAGCAAGCCGGGCAGCCCAAACTTTCGACGGGGGCAATGGAGGCAAATAAGGCCAAGAGTAGGAGGGTCACAAGCTGGAAGGGGCTATCATGCTCATTTTCTTGGTGGTGTGTTACTATAGGCCTAGTGATTTAGTATGTCAATCTAGCAGTAGGCCCAGTGGCAAGGACTAATGTGTTCCATTCACTCGGAATGGCTCATTTCCCGGCTCTATGGTACCACGGACTCACTGATCACAACAGCAAACTAAGGCTAGCCTCTAATTCATGTAACGTGGTGCAAGAATATAAGAGGTGTGCGTCGCCAACTCACGAAACCGGAACGGCCAGCTCAGCTCAAGAATCATTTACCTTCACCCCTCCTTCACCAGTGAGAGCCAGTTACCATGGCACCTCCATTGTCCACTTCGCCCATTGATGGTGAAAGTCTGTCGGCCTCCAACTCAACTCCTGTTGAGGAGAAGACGACCATCACTGTGCTTGGCAAAGGCGAGGAGCTCAAGACCGATGTAGACCACACCGGCCATGAGAGTGATGAAGATCCAGATGCTGTGATCATCACCGGAGCGGATGCAGCGGTGCACTTGCTGCCGCTACGTGATGATTTTGACAGTGCCCTGACCTTCCGCAGCGTGGTCCTGGCTTCTGGCTTGGCCTGCTTCCAGGCTGTCATGTACCAGATCTACACGGTAGGCCGAGAGAGATATCCCCATGAGGTTTCTTCCGTGTCGCGACTGACAGCATGCCCAGTTCAAACCGACCTTCATCACCATCCAAGGAACTTTTATCGTCCTCATCTCGTACTTCGTCGGCAATGCTTGGGCTCGTTTCCTCCCTCGTGGCGATAAATTTGAGGCGCGGTGGAGGGCACAGGGCGGCCAGGGCAAGGCTCCTTGGTGGGTTGCGGTCTTCAGGTTCCTCAATCCTGGACCATTTGGTCTGAAGGAGCACGCCATCTGCTCTATCACTGCCACCTCAGCCTCAAATGCTGCCGCCAGTGTGCAGGTCTTTGCGGCCCAGGACCTCTTCTATAACCTTCCTCTGAGCGCGACCACCGTCATTCTAAGCACCATCTCAATTGGTCTATTTGGCTATGGTCTCTGTGGTATCATGCGTCCCATAGCAGTCTGGCATCCAGAGGCCGTCTACTGGAGTACTCTACCGGTCGTCAAAACCCTGCAGGGGCTTCACTGGCAGCAGGTGAAGAACTCTAAGCCACTCCGATATTTCTGGTATGCTTTCAGCGGCATGGCTGTGTATGAGATTATTCCTGCCTACATCTTTCCATGGCTGAACTCCGTCTCTATCCCGGTATGTGGCCTTCGTAATTGTCCGAAAACGAGTGTTTTGCAAAGTCTGACAAGTCTCCGAAATACAGTGTTTGGCTGCCCAGAAAGCCACTGGCAATAAGGCTGCCATACTTACCAATCTCTTTGGTGGAGCAACCAACAATGAGGGCCTGGGCTTGTTTACACTCAGCTTTGACTGGCAATACGTAAGATGATGCTCATTGTGTGCAATATGTTGCAAATCTGACCGATGCAGATCACCTCCTTCCAAACCTCACTCCCTCTAAAATTGCAGATTCACCAAGCAACGGGATTTTTCGCCTGCTTCATTATTATGCTTGGTATCTACTACGGCAATGGCTGGGATTCAAAGTCACTTCCCTTCATGTCGACCCGCCTGCTCCAGGCAAATGGAACAGCCTACCCCGTCTCCACAATCTTCCCTGGGGGAGTGCTTGATGAAGCCGCCCTGGAAGTCTACGGTGTTCCCAAACTCACGGGTACATTTGCCTTTTCCATGTTTATGGCCAACGCTGCAGTAGGTGAGACCCTGTCTCGCTTGAAGTATCCAAGCTAAAAACCGCCCAGATTGGTGCTTTGGTTGCACACACCATCCTCTTTTGGGGAAGAGATATCTGGCGGACTTACAAGAGTGCGAGAGCAGGTAAATACGACGATCGGCACCATGTGCACATGGCAAAGCATTACAAAGAAACTCCGTGGTGGTGGTACGCCTTCGTGCTGCTTTTTAGCTTCATCCTGGGTCTGGTCGTGGTCCTCAAGGAGAACGTCACCCTACCTGCGTGGGCATATGTCGTCTCGCTGATAGTCGGAATTATCTTTGCGCCATTTGTGAGTGTTTCCATAGCACAAACAGTTGAAAGAGTCTGACTTACAATTCTGCAACAGAGTACTATCCTCTATTCCAAGTATGGCAATGGAATCGCCACCAACAACCTGTCAAAGATGTTGGCTGGCCTGATGATTCCGGGCCGCCCTGTTGGAAACATGTACTTTGCTGCGTGGTCACACAATGTCATTTCCAATGCTGTGACCTTGTCCAACGACCTGAAGATGGGGGAATACCGTGAGTGTCACTAGAGTCCCACGACCACGCGGAAACTAATGCTCTGTCTTAGTCAAAATTCCACCCCGCGTCATGTTCTTGACCCAGATCTACGGCACGATTCTTGGCGGTTTCATCAACTATGCTGTCATGATCTCGATTGTGAGCGGCAACCGAGAACTTTTGGCAGACAGCAACGGAGACTCGTCCTGGAGTGGCGCAACCATGCAATCATACAATACCAACGCGACCTCTTGGGCCCTGGCATCCTACCTCTATAGGGCTGGTAAGCAATACAGTATCGTTCCCGCTGGGTTGGCAATCGGTGCTGCTGTGGTTGCCGTTCACAAGATTATTCATAAGGTGAGTAGCTTTGTCAACACGAAAACAATCCCTTGTTCTGTCCTAGCCGGGAACAAAACTGACATGCTCATGCTTCATTCTAGCTTGTTCCACGGATCGGGAAATTTGACGTCTCCGAGATCAACATGCCGCAATTCATTCAGTACGCGGGCTATATCCCTTACAATCAGAGCCAGACCTGCATCCTCTTCAGTTGGGTCATCGCGGGCTTTTACGTCCAGTACTACCTCCGAAACTTCAAGCCCCGGGTCTTCAAGGACTACTCGTACCTGATCACTGGTGCCTTTGACGGAGCTAGCTTGACGGTCGTATTCATCCTCTCGTTCGCAGTGTTCGGAGCTGGAGGACCAGCGCATAGCTTCCCGACATGGTGGGGCAACAATGTGAATGGATACTATGACTGGTGTCCTTCCTCGGACTAGGGTCGGATTGGTTGGGGTGGAGAAGACATGAAGCTGTAATTAGCACCTGAGCATCTGGTCAAGTGCTGTTTTCCGTACTCGAACGAACATCTCTACTTTGATGCATACTTTAGGCTACATGATAATGAGGGTACTGTACTGCCTGCATTGCCTGGATGAGCTAATAATATCGATATACCCATGGCATTCTCTTCTTAACTCGTTTGTCTCTGCGGAAGTAGCTTCACTCACTCGTTGCGGCTTAGTCTTGATGCTCCAAACATCGGGGTTTGCGCTGCCTCCCTTCCAAGTTCTCCCTTCTTTCCGCCTTCTTTCATCCCCAATCCGCCTAGCTGCGCCAGCCGTCTCCACAAGCGTTCATAAGCTACACGAGCCAGTTCTACTCCAGCTCTGCTTCAATTATACCTTGTCCGTCCCCTGGAGGAGGCCAGAATTTCACTACTCGGAAGCCCGCAGAACCGACCAATCTCCTCCACCGGTCCGCGGTACGTTCCATGCTATTGCAGAAGATCAACATCTCCCAGTCCCACATAGCAGGCAGCATAGCACAGTCTCTATCAGCAAGCACAAACTCCTCAATAATCAATTTCGAGTATCCCTTCTTCATGGCCGCTCCGACATGCCTCAGAAACCGACGACAATCCTCATCCGACCAATCGTGCAGGATGAATTTCAGATAGTAAGTCCGCGCACCTACAGGGGCACTTTGGTCAGCAAGTTGATAAATTGGTTTGAGTGACCATAACTGACCTTGTATCGGCTGCTGCTTAAACAGATCGAAAGGTATATGTTCAATCTTGGGGTGAACAACTGCACTATCTAGAACCTGCGGGAGATCCTCCAGTACCAATCGACCTGGTGCATTGGGGAATTTGGTCTGGAAGGCAGCAACATCATGTCCACGTCCTCCTGCTACGTCCACAAGGAGCACATCAGTGTCACCCTTTTGGAAACCGTCGATCAGTTGCTCCTGAACCGGAAACCACTCCAACCAGCTGGGTCGGCTGCCCCGATCCGCTTCCATGAATGTGTTGCAGGCGTCCAGGTATCCCGGTTTTGTGGCGAGCCACTCCCAGATGATAGTGTCCATCTTCTCCGCATAGTGGATTGCACCGTTCAACGGACCCGAGAGATTTCGGTACTCATTCGTTCGCAGAAACTCCGGGACTTTGGCGAGCGTGGGCATCCCGACATCGAAGCTATGGCATACAATCTCGCGTTGTCCGATAACTTGCTGTCAGAGAAGGCCGGAGATTACGCACATGAACTTCACCACTGCCAGACTCAAACGGTTGGTCATTTGCCTCGACATTGCCGTTGGGGTATACAACCTCACATTATGCTCCGCCACATAATCGATGCCGGCCAAAATGCGCAAGACGCGTTCTATAATACATTGTTAGCAAGCTCCAGGAAGAGGAAGAAGACTTGCTCGCCTGTCAGGATGGGATCAGCGCCCTTGACAACCGCCAAGTCCTCCAATGTCGTCGGGCAGTTCCTTTCGCTCAAGGTGGTGAAGATATCCAGATCGATGGCGATCCTAACACACATCACATGGGTTCGGCTCCCTAGTGGCCATTTTTCAATATGTGGTCGCTTGTGTAGGACGCAATAACAATCCCTGCCAACAGAAAACACGAGCGTCGTCAGACGCTACGCAAGTGAGTGCGTATAAATCCGCTCCGATTGTCTGTAAAGTACGTACGGCAACATCATCCGTTCATCTTTCGTCTCATCATGGCCATTGACAAGGGCACTGAGATTGAAGCTGTATCTTGGATCTTTGGCAGCATTGCCAGCCTCGCTGTGGTGCTTCGGCTGTACACCAGAATATGGCTGACGCAGAAAGCTGGCTGGGATGATGGGTTCATCTTTGTCTCCCTGGTATGAGGCCTGCGAAGATCCGATGCTCGAAGGATTCTTGCTAACGCAGGTGACCCTTGACAGGCTAATGCTCTTGTATGCTCTGGCTTGTTACAGGTTGGCATGAGATATGGCCTGGGGAAGCACTCAAGAGATATCGCAGACCGAGAAGCCAGGATTCAAGCATTCAAGTATACGGTGATCGCACCGAACTTCTCCGTCATCAGTACCACAACAGGCAAAATATCTGTCGTGATATTCTTGCTGCGCCTGATGGGCCAGGCCGCCACTCCAAGCAAGCGATGGTTCTTATACGTCCTAACTATAGTCTCGATCATTTGGAACACATTAGCTATTGTGGCTATTATCGGCTTTTGCCGACCCGCCGAAAAGATATGGCGCCCTGAGACTCCGGGCGAGTGCTTCAACTTAGGCTTTCAACTGGTGCTTGGTATCTCGCAAGCGGGTGAGTGTCTGAATAACATGCTGGTGATTAATCAAATCCGACTCTGACTTTCAGGATAGCCTTTTAACGCCTTCGCGGATCTGGCTCTTGCCATGTTCCCTATCGCAGTCTTCTGGCACGTTCGACTGCCATTGAAGATCAAAATCGGAGTTCTGGCAGTGATGGGAGCGGGAATCTGGTAAAGTGAATCCCCGTGTTTTCCTGTACGGACCGTAACTGAGTCATTTGTAGTGCCGCAGCCGCGACACTGGTGAAAGCCATCTTGCTGAAGAGCCTTCCTGCTCATTCAGGCATAACATGTATGTGGACTATAACCTCCAAGACCAGATTAGTATGCTAATTGGGCTTCGTAGGGTCGTGGGCAGAAATCACTGTGTGGTATACGTGAGATTCACCATTGTTCCATTAGATTGGCGCTCAATAAATTCTGACCATGGATCAAACAGGATTGAGGTACAATACTGCGCTGCTCACTACCTTGCAGTAGGTGCTAACGTACGGTCCAGATGCATCTCATCATTATTTGCGCGACCTTGCCGACCCTGCGTCAATCGTACTTTGCCCTTGTTCATCATACCCGCCGCTCAACTTCGGGCTATGAGTTGAGCGGCCCCAGTCTCAAGCTGAAGCCCATTCACTTTGTACGCCGCATGCCGGACCAATCGCTCTTCGAAACCCACATAGATGCGTCCAAGGCGCAGGATGGTACGAGTAGCCAGGAAAACATTCTTCGAGCAGAAGAGGCGCACCGATCATATATCGTGAAGACCACGAAGCTTCATCTCCATGAACATGGAAGGAGTTGAGTGCTGCCAAGCCAACATGTACAGTATATACTGTACGGCCATTTGATCTGCATCAATCATCCATGGTGCAGTGCTTGCATGACAAATCAAAGTTTTAGCTTTGCCAGCATCCTGGAGTCCGACTGACTCACGAAGCTTGGCCAAAAGAGCTGAGACATTTTCCAAACGTTCAGTTTCCAAGCTCCCTAGATGATTCATGAAGGTGGGTTATTTTACAGATCTGACTTAGAAATCTCATGCTTTGTCAGATCCTCGATGATGGCGTGGCTTGGTGAGAACCAATGGTTCACCCAGGGTTTGTGATCAGTAATCACCACCCCTCGTGTTTTCTGCGGGTGCTGCTGAATAATGACTGAAAACAACATCGGTGGAAGCGCATGGTTGCTTTGTCTTCTCCAAGCTGAATAATTCCAACACGAGCACGAAATTTCAGCATGCACTCCAGAATGAGGATAAATCTGGCCGTAATGTCTTCAAGACAATGTTTAAGTACACAATAACCAACTCGCCTGTTCTCAACCATATTCAATCATGGATTCTATCATCCGCGATAGCACAGCCGGGCAGCTTCTGCGATGGGTCACCAGGAATAAGATCCTGCCCTACCCTGAGGAGCGCCCGGACTTCAAGTGCCCCAATTGCTATGCAGGAAATGCCCATTCGGCGACAATCTTTGAAGCGGACAGGGAGCAGGACTCGGATTCCGACCCCGACACCAACGAACGACAATCTGAAGATGCTTCTACATCCGAAACAGCCACCAACTTGAGCCGAGTGCCGTCAATGACCGATCTTGAGAAGATCCGCACCCAAGATGATCTGGCTCGCCTGTACTCGGTCGCTACGCAGACCGAAGCACTGCAGGCGGCGCCCAGCCGACCTATAGCGCCAACAAAAACCGACGACGGTACCATTTTAGTGGACTGGTACACCACTCATGATCCAGCCAACCCGCAAAATTGGTCCTCTGGCAAGAAGCTGTTCGTCGTGACTCAGATTTACCTCTATACTTTTGCTGTTTACCTGGGCTCGTCGATCTATACGCCCAGCGCTCCGGAGGTTCAAATCCGTTTTGGCGTCTCGGCAACTGCCGCATCTCTGGGGTTGGCTCTGTACGTCCTGGGATACGGGATCGGGCCCCTGATCTTCTCTCCGATTAGCGAGATCCCCAGCATCGGCCGCAATCCGCCGTACATCATTACCTTCGCGCTTTTTGTTATCTTCACCATTGGCGCCGCGGTGGTCGACACGTTCGGAGGTCTTCTTGTCCTTCGCTTTCTGCAGGGCTTCTTTGGCAGCCCATGTCTGGCGACTGGGGGTGCTAGTATCGGCGACGTGTACAGCCTCTTGAAATTGCCTTACGGGCTCACCACCTGGGCGGCCTTTGCGACCCTGGGTCCTGCCCTGGGTCCCCTGATCTCAGGCTTCAGCGTTCCCGTCAAGGGCTGGCGGTGGTCCCTCTGGGAAACCGTCTGGCTGTCGGCCCCAATTCTCGTCCTCATGTTTTTCTGCTTGCCTGAAACGTTCCCGGATGCCATTCTCCTGCAGCGGGCGCGCCGCCTGCGCCGGGTGTCTGACAATGACAAGCTGCGCTCGCTGTCTGAAATTAAGCAGAAGCAATTGACCGTCACCGCCGTGGCAATGGAAGCGCTGTATCGGCCATTCCAGATCGTCTTCCTCGATCCCGCGATCCTCTTCTTCAACGTCTACACTAGTCTAATCTACGGGATCTACTACTCGTTCTTTGAGGTCTTCCCGATCGTCTACATTGACATCTACCACTTCAACCTCGGTGAGATGGGTCTTGTCTTCCTAAGCATCGCTGTGGCCCTCGCCATCGCCGTCCCACTCTATTTTCTGTACCTGTACAAAGTCTTCGAGCCCGAAATCCGGACCCGCGGCCCCGGCGCCCCGGAACGCCGGCTCATCCCCGCGCTCTTTGCCTCCTTTCTCCCGCCCATTGGATTGTTCATTTTCGGATGGACTTCACGCGCCTCGGTTCACTGGATTGTATCGGTGGTCGGGATCCTGCTGTACACGATCGGAATCTTCACCCTGATCCAGTGCATCTTTATCTACATCCCGATGACGTACCCGCAGTATGCGGCGAGCCTGTTCGCCGGGAATGACTTCATGCGCAGTGCGCTCGCTTGCGGCGCCGTGCTGTTTGCCCGTCCGCTTTATCTGAATCTTGGGGTGGGACAGGGGGTGAGTCTGCTAGCCGGGTTGACGGTGGGCTGCATTGGCGGGATGTTCGCGCTGTACTACTACGGGGCGGCTTTGAGGGCTCGGAGCCGGTTTACGGCGAAATAGATCATGATGGAAGTCAATTTGGGTCTTGGCTGTGGTTTGCATTCCTATGTACTAGATGAGCTTAATATTTAATTGGTTATATGATTTATGAGTGATGAACAATGTGGCGTTGACGCTTCAGCTGGTAGAGCAAGAATGACAAGCATGTATGCTTCATTTATTTCTTTCTCTCCAAGGTAACATAGCTAGACTGAACAAACAACATCATTCTTTGACTCCAGTATCCACAGCTCTTTAATCCCTCTCCCGTCTTCTGGATCTCGTCTTCTCTTCATCCTCTCGAAGAATGCGGAATTGACCCTACCGCGCAGTATAACCTCCATCCACCGGCAAAAGAATTCCAGTCACCCAAGTGGCGTCCTCACTAGCCAACACCACCGCCATCCGAGCAATATCATCCGGCATCCCGGGCCCCTTGAACGGATGCCGCTGCTGCAGATCCTCGAGAGGGGTTATGTAGGCCGTTGTCTCTTGAAAGATAGCCGTCTGAGTATCTGCATTTGTAGCCGTCAGAAAACAGCACAAGCCTCAAACCTAGATACCCCCCTGTCGGGGAGGGACCATTACTTACAACCCGGACAAAGAGCATTAACATGAATCCTGTGGGGCGCATAGTCCAGCGCCACCTGTTTCGTGAGATTGCTCACTGCGCCTTTCGACGCACAGTAGGAAACTACATCCAGAGAACAAATTAACCTTCACGTCCATCTATCAAATCCGCTGACCACAATATCCACACACACCAGAATCACAATGGGACACTTACCATTCTCCAACCCCGCCACAATCCCCATAATCGACGACATATTGATGATCCACCCGCGATCCCCGGAGGGCTGATGCGGCTCCTGCTTCAACATCTGGGCCGTCGCGTACTTGCACCCCAGGAAGACCGACTTGCTGTTCACGCGCATCGTGGTATCCCACACCTCCTCCTCGGTCAAGTGGCACACGGCGGGAGTTCTTGCTTCGAGTGCGACGCCGGCGTTGTTGACGAGGCTGGGGGTGGTATTAGCTTACTCGCTCGTCCTTGTTCCTTCTTTCTTGAGGAACAAACAGGCCGCGGAAAGAGGGGTCTCACATATCCAACCGCCCAAACACATCCACCGCCGTCTGCACCACCCGCTCCATATCCCCCGCATCCCCGACGTCCGTCTTCACGAAGACGGCTTCCCCGCCACCCTGCACGATGAGGTCATGCGTCGCGATTGAGGTCTCGGAGGGGACCTGTGCGCGGGCGGTCGGGGTGAGGTCTGCGCAGATGAGCTTTGCGCCTTCGCGGGCGTACCGGAGGGAGATGGCGCGGCCCAGGCCGGAGGAGGAGCCTGTTACAATGGCGATTTTGTTGGCGAGGCGGGGGGTGATTGTCATGATTGCTTGGTAGGTTTTGAGCTGGGTGAGGGGTTTGGAATGATCTGTTATGTTGTGTGTGTTTGTTTTTGTTGGGGCTTGGGAGCCGACGTTGTATGCTTCCTTTATCTTGATCTTTGTCCTCCTGTCAATTGCGGGGTTGTAGGTCTAGACCACGCAGGCAGGGTCATCATTACTCTTGGGGAGGGCTCGGCTTTCTGTGCGATAGTGATATATCCGAGGTTATTGTGATGACGGACTGGGGTTTGTATGGTGGGTTTTTACCTGGTGGTATAATTGTAGTTCTTAATACTTGTTGTGGTTGGGGGTGGAGTATAGGTCCAGCCGAGGGAGAGATCTTATTGAACGCTTGATGGGTCATCATGTTGTTAAGATGCTCAGCCATGCGGGCCATTGCTGGTACAGGCAATTCAAGCTATGAGAACATTGACTGTGGGGCGCGATATCTACAAAAAACAAATGCAGTGATGGTAAGCTCAGAGGTTGACTGCAAGCAATGTTGGGGGAAGTTGAGACAGAAACTAAAAAAGAATGGATGAGCCCAGCCCGGCTCGATCAGGCAACCTTACGATCTGGAGTCGTACGCGCTACCAATTGCGCCATAGGCCCATTCTATGCAATAAGCGCGTAATGAGCGCAATATAATCCAACTAACCCGGAGCTCGATACCAATTCCTGTTTACTCTTCTCGATCCAGTGAGACACAGCTTCGTCCTTCTACCGAACACATACAACGGTCGCACCATCTAGCTGTCTTCAACTTACCGTTCTCTATGGAAGTGGGAAGCCAAGCTTATACTGAGTCGATCTGATCATCTTCTGGCTGGTCTCCTTCGACACAGACCAGCATCCATGGGTACCCGATTCCGTCGGGTCAACATGACAACACTGGGAAGGCAACACTTCGTGGGACTGAGCTATGCCAGCACAGCCTCTACAGAAAGTGTTCCCGGGTACTAGCATCTAGTCGACCCAGCTACGGTGTTTTCTCTGCTTGTTGGCTTTTCACGATGAGCAATGTGCGTCTCTACCCCAGCTAGCCCGAGAAACGTACCTATTAGAGTCCTCTATATCGAGCATGGGCTAGGTGATCAAAGGTCCCGGTCAGTGATTGCACCAGGCAGACTCTGTACGAGGACAAGGCTCGAAGGTCTACGGTACCATCCACCTGGAGCAGGCTCGTGTCGCATCCATGTGTTCATATTCGCGGTGGCTGTGTGATGCTCTCAGTCCGGTAGCCGGTGCTCTTTGCTGATTAGTGTCAAAGGCATCCCTATTGCGCTCGGGATCTTCTTCCACTCGAACAGAAGGGCTGAGCAAATCTACCCACCTTGACGGAAGGTCGTCTGTACCCAGCACCACTTCCGTCCCACGAACGCCCCCCTTGCTTGACTGCAAGCTGCTGGATCGGCCCATGCTAACCCCATCTATCATAGCTCAGAGCTGGCAACTTCATGCAGGAACTGTCCAACATTGCGTCTAAGTCGCAGCGGACCCTGTTCGACATGCAGCAGAGCTCTGCTCTTGGGATATGGACCTCTGGTGTAGGCATGCCTAAGTGTCCATGCTCTTGCGCGAATACTGTTCTCTGAATACAACGTATATGAAATCATTACCCTTGGGCTTGTCTAGCTGTTGCCAGTAACTTCTTGGCAGGATCAAGGTCGAGTCTCTCCAGCCCATTGCTTGATACTGTGGTGAAGCCCTGACCAGAGGACGACAGTGCTAATGAACTTAGCTGGAACGGATGGATCTTCACATTTTTAAGATCAGCTCGACCCATAAGCTCCATTCACGGGCATCGAGAATCCAGTCTGGCCGGCAAAGAGGCGTACTCGTGTGGCATAGCCGTCCAAAGCTGCATCTCTTGGACGCCGGGGGGCAGTGTTGCCGATGGGTCAAGTATACCTAATCCTGGTGACCCTCGGTGACTGATAGCGTTGGCATAGGGCCACCGCCCAGCATCTTCTAGCCTATTTGTTTTATACTATCTAACGCGTGCAGAACTCCACTCTCCTCTGTACCTCATACATATATAATAGCGCACCAGCCCCAACAGAATCAACCAAGAAACGTGCCACTATCTACCGTCCTACGAGCCCACCTTCGCAAAGCCCGACACCTATCCACGTCCTCACACCATGGACCGACTACCTTGCAACCACAACCACCAGCGTCAAATACGATCACCGCAGCACCTACCTCATACACATTTGTTGCTATGCCGTGATAAGTACTACAGAACAAAAACATTCATCCAACATGGGCCTATGGCGCAATTGGTAGCGCGTACGACTCCAGATCGTAAGGTTGCCTGATCGAGCCGGGCTGGGCTCATTTCTTTTTTTGTTTTTGTATTTTCTATTCTTGTTTCCACCTCAACAAAACTGTCTCCATCGGTACGTCTGCCTGCCCTAGGCGCCCGTCATGGAAACAAGCGAGTCACAGCGAGAGACTCCGCGCTGGCTGCCCTTCCAAAACCCTACGATGCAAATCCCAAACGAAGCTCGTCGTGTCGTCGCCATGTTTCATCACGCTTGGCGTTCGAAGACACATCCGAATATTCCTCCACAGGCAATCCATGAACCATCCAGCTAGACAATTCCTTCTGCACGTGTCTTCATCCCGAATACCACACTGATGATCGACTTGTGCTGCATACGCATACCAAGTCTAGTTTCCGATGGCTGGAGGACAAGCCCACCGAAGTCCATACTCCCACGCAGGCTTAACTCAGACCCTGACAATGGACAAACCACAGGCCCGATTTGACATAACCATCCACAACAACAATACCCATGATTGCTTTCATCACATACGACCACAGGGTGTGGAAAATAGGGCTTCCCGTCCGCTCAGCCGTACTCAAGCCACACGCCGGGAGGTTAGTAGTTGGGTGGGTGACCACCAGCGAATCCCTTCTGTTGTATGTTTTTTTTCTGTCTGCGCACTAACCCTAGGACCCTGTGCTTTCGGAGATTAAGGAAGACACCAAACTACCTCTTTTTCGTTCTCCAAGAGGGTGGCACTTTTCTTCCTCTTGGTAACCTCTGCATACAACTTCCCTCGCGAATCTTGCACCAGCTTCCGCACCACGCAACCCCATCACCGATGATTCGATTTCCACATACGTGTTTGCGCTGACACGCTGGCTATAGAGCGCTGGACTGTAGTTGAATGAGATGCCCATGGCGTATCTCTGGATATGACACTCGCTCAGGGCGGGTACCGGGGGCGCCCCAGGGGATGGAACGCATTTGCTCGGCGACGGCGACGGGGAAAGCAGCAGCAGCAACAGCACTGCCATCATGGCACAGGCCGCACCGCAATCCGTATTGATCCGGGCGATATCGCTCCAGCCAGTACAATCCCAGAGAATCATCTCCTGGAGGCGGTTGCTACATCGCGGCGCAGGGCCGCCAGCGAGGTTGTGGCAGAGGGGACCCCAGTCGCAAGAAAACCATGGAGATCAGGGGGCGCAATGACCTCCTCGATCACGGCAATCGCCTCGTGCCGCCCCGTCAGCACGCGGTTGAGCACCGTGTCGAGACTGCCGCCGCCACTCGAGCCCAGATCCCCCTGTGATTTTGACCCCTCCTCCCCCGCCCATCTCCTGGTGAGCCAAATGCCGTTGACAATCGAGTTGCGTCAATCCTTCCACCATGGAACATTTCCAGCATACCGCGCACACCGTAACACATACCCTCAGCTACGGCTTGCAGCATCACCCACGCCCGCCCAGCGCGCCACTGGTGGTCGTATTCACGGGCACAACGAGCAGCGCCCTCGAATGGAGCGCCGTGTGTCGCCATCTGGAGCAGGATGCGCCGCCTTTTCTATATGTACGGTCCCCGGCTACAGGCAGAGCGAAGCGACGCCGACGGCCAAGCCGGACTTTCTTACCATCGTCGATGAGCTCTCCCGCCTGCTCGTCGCGGCCGCCCTCCCGCCGCCGTATCTGTTGGTCGGCCATTCGTGGGGCGGGATTCTGGCGCGCGAGTTCTTGGCAGCCGCGCGCAGCGCCAAGGACAAGGATGATGAGGACGAAGCGATTTGCGGGATGGTGCTCGTAGACGCAGTGCAGGAGCGCATGCAGTTCGAGACGTGGCCGGACCCCAGCATCGCGGCCGTCACCGCGGGTCTCGACTACATGGAGGCCCTGGGGCTGGCGCAGGACCACCGACTGACCGCGCACGAGTGGGCGGAGCTGATGGCCGAGGAAGGCAGCGCCCACCACGCCCACCACGCCCGCCAGGCCGCCCGCGAGCTGTCCTACCTCCAACCCAGCCGCGCCGTCCTGACCTGTAAGCGGCAGTTGGTTGCGGGTCGGGACCTGCTGCGCGGCCGCCCGCTCAGCGTGCTCTGCGGCCATTCCCGCCGCGACCAGCAGCGCCTGTACGACCGCGGGGTGAGTCGGGGGGTTGGGCTCCGAGGCCCAGCGCGCCACCTTTCGCGATTATCTAGAGCGGTGGGACGCGAGCGAGGAGGCCTTCCAGCACGAACTGTTGAATCTGTCGTCCCACCGCCCGGTTCTCGACCGCCGTCAACAGTGGCCATTGTATCTTGCTCACGGAGCCGGAGCCAGTGGCGGGGGAGATCCGCTGGGTTCTGGGCCAAATTCCATCGGGGCCCGTCTGACATCCTTGTTGGGTATGTGTATATGGTGGTATGTGATGAGAGCGTTGCACCGCTCGACCAAAAGGTTGTCAAGACACTGATCTAGCTGATCGTGCGCTCCAAAGGATCCCGAATCCTGTTGTTATGTGCTGTCCAAGCCCCTTGGTGTTATGAGCGATCCTTTCCCTCAGGGCTTTGGAGATGAGCAGGATCCCAAGATCTTTTGTCTTGAAGATATATCAACGTCCACATTCACGTCGATCTCATAGTTTGCAGAGGTTGTATTTCAAAGCCACCCGTATGAAAAGCACATACGACCACAGGGTGTGGAAAACAGGGCTTCCCGTCCGCTCAGCCGTACTTAAGCCACACGCCGGGAGGTTAGTAGTTGGGTGGGTGACCACCAGCGAATCCCTTCTGTTGTATGTTTTTGGCTTTTACCTTTTTTCCCTGCAAACCTTGGGCGGCGTACTTGTTGTTGTTGTTGTCAGAGATGCAGGGAGAAGAAGGGAGGTGAGCGTGCTCTCAATGTGGGTTGGTGGGCTTTAGACCGTGTGCCAGCCATTCAGACACGGAACTTGTTGTGGCTCGTAGTTGTTGTGGCGATTATGAGCTTATAAGTTAGCTTGTGATAGAGGGAGCTAGTTTGCCTTGGGAAGGAGCAAGTATCTCGGGGTCGATGAGGATCTCAGCAAGCTAAGGGCAACGAGAAAAGAGACAGAGAGTTCAGTTGAGGTAGAGTGCAGTGGCCGGTGGGAGCGGAATAATGCACAGGACAGGGGAAGAAGACACAATCCTTAGGTCTCAAGCGTCCCAGCAACATGCTTGAAGGACTCTCCATCCGCCGGGACCTTCTTCTCCTTCCATCGCCTCGCCGCATGCAAGAGATCAATCATATCTTCACCTCCCAAGGCGACGACTCATTCATTTGGGTCGCATTCATGAGAGTGTCTACGAGCAAATGATGATTCCAAGATTCAAAACAGTCATGTCGTAAATTAGTGATTCTTCTTCACGGTCCTCTCCATATCTCACATCAAACATCGTATATACTACCAACAGACGGGCAAGTTTAAAATTAAAGTATATAGAACCGTGGCAAACGCATGGTATGGTATCTCTTTTTGCAACCCAAATGCAAATCAATCATCTTTCATCCCTCATCCCGCATTCATCAGTCGTGCCTCCCCCACCCACCTCGTTCCACCACCTAACAGCCGAACCCATCAACATCAACACGTCAACTGTACGGGAACCTCAAACCTTAGGCTCGGCAGTCTCCGCGTGGACGACCTCGCCACCGGCGCGCTTCTCCTCGTCGAAGCCGACCTCCTCGACCATGGCACCGTGCTTGAACTCGTTGCGGGTCTTCCAGGCGGGGGTGCCGATGTAGGGGATACCGTTGGGGTCGGTGAAGATGGCCTCGACCTCCTCGAGGGTCTTACCGGTGGTCTCGGGGAACATGAAGAAGATGTGGATGGTCATCGCGGTACAGAAGACGCCGAACAGCACGTAGACCTCCCACTTGATGTTGACGAAGGCGGGCGGCACGAAGTACGAGAGCGCGAAGTTGAAGGCCCAGTTGAAGGAGGTGCACAGCGCCACGGCCTTGCCGCGCACCCGCAGCGGGAAGAGCTCGGGCGGGTAGACCCAGGAGGCCGGGCCGAAGGAGACCGCGTACGAGGCCACGAAGAGGTAGGTGCAGGCGATGACGCCCTTGCTGGCGGCGCCCTCGATGATCCACGACTCGGCCTCGACGCCGTCGAGGCCACCGGGCGGCGCGGGGCGACCGTACGTGGCCATCAGGCCGGCGTTGGCGTAGAGGAAGATCATCATCAGGACGGAGCCGATCAGGAACGTCGGACGACGACCCCATCGGTCTCCCCAGATCAGGGCCGGGATGGTGGTGATGACGTTGATCACGTATTGGATGGAGGAGGAGGTCAGGTTGTTGTTGCCGGTCATGCCGGCCATCGCGAAAATGTAGGTGATGTAGTACATCATGACGTTCATTCTGTATGGCATCGGTCTGTTAGCTTTCTGCGATTGAGAAAACTGATAGTTGGAACGTACCCGGTAAGCTGAGACCAGATCTGAGTGAAGATACCAACGTGCGTGCGGTTGATCATGTTGGGCTTGAAGAGCTCGAGGTAAGTGACGTCGGCATTGGCGCGCTCGAATTCACAGATGCTCTTAATCTCCTCGAACTCGCGCTGAACGAAGGGGGAGTTGGGGTCACCGTGACCGTGCACCAGGGTCAGAACAGCGTGACACTCTTCCCAGCGATCCTTACGGGCCAGCCAACGGGGAGACTCGGGGAGCAGCATCAGACCGAGGAAGAGCAAAACCGCGGGGATCATCTGCAGGCCCCAAGGAATGCGGAAGGCAGCAGTACCCTTGATGAAACTGCAACCATAGGAGATACTAGTAGGGACCGTAAGTATGGTCGTGGTTGGCAACTAAAGCCCAGTTGACTTACTAGAACATGATCAGGATACCCCAGGTGATAGCCCACTGTTGCAGACCGACCACACGTCCACGCTTGGTAGGGGGAGCCTATGAACACAATTAGTACACTAGGTAAACAAGCAGGGAACCACCGGAATAGACTCACAATCTCAGAGATATAGACGGGCACCTGAGCGGAACAAATACCAACACTGAGACCGTTGATGATACGGCCAACAACCAGCATGGGAATGTTCTGAGACGCACAGACAATGATAGAACCAATACACCTATATCACGACCCACCATCAGAAACTGAAAGAACAAGCAACGCATTCGAAGCAACATACCAGATAATCGAGCCGACCTGAATGGAAGTCTTACGTCCAAATCTATCCGATATGAAGCCAGAAATCAAAGCACCCAGCCAGGAACCACCCGCCATGGAGGCAGTGATACCACCCTGAACATCGGCAGTGGGACCAGAACATTTCTTTTCACCATCCACGTATTTGACGTCTCCTTGATTGAAATAGCAGAGATAGGTTTGTGTGCTAATGATAGCAGACATGGACGAGATATCGAAACCAAAAAGACCACCGCCGATAACGGCGATGGCCGAAATGAAGTAGATGTTGCCGATCTTCTGCATGATGGAAGATAGACTCCGCACAAGGGGAGAGCGTTGAGCACAGTCTATCTAGGAAAGGGAAGAAGGGACACCACCGATCAGGGGAACGAACGAACAGAGAAAACTGGGGAAAAGACGGGGAATTTAAACTGCTGGGTCCTGCGGTCCTGCCTGGAGAGCATCACCCACGCGCACGCGAGAAGTGGATGGGGCCACGAGAGACGAAGAGAAAGAAAAAAAAATAAATTAACTGGATGCTGGCCACTACGTAAGTGGCCCAACTAAGCATCCGCCATAACCTGGACAAGCGAAAGACAAGCCATCACGACCGGTTTCAACCGCTAAACCTTAGGGCGCGCGCGCTGTCCCGACCCGACTCCTCCTTCCATGGAGGGGGAGAGAGGGACAAGAGGGTCCCCGCCCATTATGGTAGACGAGATGATTAGCGCAACAGAAAAATTGATACATTCTAATGCGGCATCGCCTGAACCCTGGCGGAGCGAGAACGCATATGTGGTTTAGGCCCCAAAAAGCTAAGGGTATCTGTCCTATGGCGAGGATTGGATGGATGCCATGCAGCCCGGATGGCTGACATGGAAGGAAGCCGTGGGTCAATTCCATTCCATCGGCTGGCCGAGACGCGCGAGACGAAACTGAACCTGGGTCAAGCCGGGTGTGTCAGATGGCCCAACATTCTGGGGCAAAAAGAGTAGCACACCAGCACATGGTGTGGAGAAACTAACCGAGACGTCAACGATTTGTTTTGGCTCGTACACCAGATTACCCTGCGATGGGGACAGCCGATTCCGACGATGTAATTGACCACCCGGATGAGTAGGAAAGGGGAACAACAAACAGGAGCAGAGGGAATGTGAACAATTGGTCCGTACCCGTCATGCAAGAACCACCCGGCGAGGGCCGAATGTGACCCTAAGGGGGCAATTGAGCCGAGACCGTGGTAAATGAAAAAGCCTCTCTGGCCCGTGGTGGTATCCCGTTTTCTCCGCACGAGCAGGACGTAATCAAATCCTCCTCCTCAGCTGGCCAGGGAAACAAAAACCCTGACCCGAGAACGGGCATCCGAAGTCAGCCGTGGAGGAAGAGGAGGAGGAATAGGAGGGGATCTGGGGACCCCAATCAAAATCCATGCCCCAGCGGGCCCCGTAATATGTGCAATGATTAATGGGCACATACGAGAAATGCGAAACCGCGCGAAAAGAAGAGGGGAGACCAAGTGGGAATTAATCGGGATGGATCGGCATTGCTAGCTACCTATCCCGGTGACAGACTCGACAACCACCACCACAACAACACACGGTGCAGCGAAGAGACGGTGACCGGGGGATGCATAGTGCAGCAAGCAAGCAGCAGCAGCAGCAGCAGCAGCAGCAGCCAAGTCGGCTGTGCGATGCTGTGTGACGATGACCGTCTCACCGATTATTGCTTGGGACTTTCTTGTCGGGATTGCTTATCGGGATCCTCCTATACAGTAAGTTCAGTCGATGGGCTGACTGAAGGATGACTCCTTTCTGTTCGGTATATTTCTGGAACCATCTGTTGTTCGGGGGGATAACAAGGCCGGGGAAGAGACAGACCACATCGGCTGATTGGGAGGAAGAAGGTGGGATGGAGGGATTGTGGAGGCCCGGACAATCCCCGAATTCTCCAGCTCTCTGTAATCTTTTTCCCCGGAGCGGAGCACATGATCCGTTCGAAGGCCTGCCGAATCGGGCATCAAGGGTCTCGGCCCCCCGCCCGTCTTTCCCCAGATGGTCTTAGTCCCTTCTTGCTTACCCGACAATCTCTGCCTTTTCAAACCACAGCAATCCCGATCAACAAACATGAAGCAGACACACACAAATTGTCACTGGTTCGTCTCAGTGATGTCCCCAAAGCATGCGGGCAGTTCTAATTCTTGTCTTCATTGATGTACTCATTGCAAGGTGGCAATTTTTCTCTTCTTTTCTTTTTCTAACTCTTATTCCTTTATATAAACTGTGAAATTCCCCGTTGCGGCTGCTACCGAGTAATTAATCTCCATGACTATTAGTTAGCCGAGGAAAACGGCTTCTCGCAATCCGCAACCCTCTTCGCAACGGAACCGCCCGCCCCGAGCCAGGGATTGGCGGATCTTCTCATTTCACAATACTTCCTCCAATCGTACACCTACCATAAAAACCACAATTGCCACTAGAGCTATATGTTCTTAGGTAAAGTTCTGCCTCGGTTGGGTTTAGGGAAGGACAGAATTTAGCAGAGTCTGCCTTTTAGCGCCTGATGCTCGTGCTCGGCTACCTGCGCTCATTTTCTCACTCGGGAATCAAGAATTCCGCGTAGATGCTCACGGATATCATCATCATTATTATCATTAGTTAGGTCGTAGGAATGGAAGTAATTAACATAGTATGTGCCCCAGGTAGACTAAACAAGAGCCTTTCCAAGGTACGAGTAATGATGGCACAAGGCACCCAAGGACAATTACTACAGAGAAGTCTGGGCAAGCGGGGTCAGTTGCAGTTGTGACGAAAGAATCCTGAATTATCCCTGGAGCCAGCCCTAATTAACCGGAGGGGTGTTATTGCCCCCCAGGGGGAGGGAAGGGGGGCCAAATGTCCATTCCATGATCGGTCTCACCCTGACTCGTGGAGACACTCTTCAGATTAGTGTCCATTGGGCGATACCTGCCCAAGCCATTGCCACCCGCCCAACACCACGCCGATATTCATCCGCCGTAATAGTCACACCTCGTGGATCTGTCCGATCCGCAAAACGTGTCAATACCACCACCTGCACCGTCTGGCCTGGGGTGCCTAAACTTCGAACATCCGGCACGTCCAGGTACCACATATCTCCGCCGCCGCCGGGGTTAGTGCCCCGGTAGTGCGTGAAGACCAGACGGTCGTCCTGTCGGCCATCCGCGCCGTGAATCGTCAACAGGAAAAGACCGGGCTGGGCCCGCGAGTGGTGTTCCAGAGTCCAGTGCTCGCAGATGAGTCCGAACTGGAAGCGCAGCGGCCCGCCCTGCTGCACCGCAATCTCCTTAGCCGCTGGTCGATAGGTGCGTGCTCCGATGCTGTGCTTCTCCGCATCCGAGTAGACCAACGGCTGTTCGGCCCCAAGAGGTGAGGCTGGATTGCCCATAAGGTATTCCTCCCAACTGATTCCGGGACGCCCGTCATCTCGGTAAAAGTCGTTTCCATTGGAGGGAAAGTGCTTGAGGCCGAATTCATCATTGGTCTCGATGAAATGGATCGGGTTGAATTGTCTTCGGTAGGGCTGACCCGGCCCCTGGACGCATCCCGCCCCCCAGCAGGTGTCGATCAGCTTCCACTGCCCATTATCAATCCGCACCACATTCCAGGCATGGTTTCCCTCGAAAGGAGGAAGCGCTGAACCAGGAACGGGATCCAGATACCCGATTCCCTTGCCGTGGCCACTGACCTTGCGAGATTCGAGGCCTGCCTCTGTCGCAAGGGCTAGAAAGAGGCCCGCATACCCTTCACATACCGCTAATCCCGAAGCTAGCGTCTTAGCCGGCGTCGAAGGCTGCACGCGATTGCCATAGAAGGCTTCTACGTCGTAATCGACATTATGATGCAGCCAGGTGAAGATGACACGAGCCTTGTCGGTGGGCGAGGGGAAAGGCGCCGTCAATTCTCTGGCCAGCCAGCTCAAATCGTGAGTTGGCAGAGTCGCACGCGGATATTGAGCGGCGTGGGCGTCTGCTGCTGAGAAATCCCGACATTTCAGACAGGCCGTCGTCAGTGCAGCAGCAGCATTCGGCGTCCCGGCTGTTGCGCTAGTAGCAGGCAAGCGAGGCTTGCTAGCTTGGAGTTTAGAAAGATCTGGCGGGGATGGGCGTGAAGCCAGTGGAACCGGCGGAGGGCCACCGTTTGTTTCCACAGGAGAGGCAGTCCTGTTGATCGCCGAGAATCCCGCCTGCTGCAGCTTACCCAAAGCAGCATTCGATGGAGGCGGCGGAGGTAACCTTCTGTTGGGAAGGGCCGGTCTAATCTCGCTCGAAGTATTATCCGTGTTTGTGCTAGGTGATCTGTCGCTGCTGTTCCGGGATGGGAGTCGCGGGGGCGGTCGGGGCGGCTGAGAATATGTACTATCGGTGGAGCAGGTACTCTGGGTAGATCCCCTGCGCGCAGGCAGTTGCGGCACAGACAGGCTACTATTGCTTTTGACAGATGTAGCCGAGGGTCGAGAGGGCAGTTGGGGTTGTCGTTTAGGAGGCAAGGGAGGTAATTCCGCCTCGCCCCATGCAGGCGGCAGAGAGCGGCCTGTTCCCGAGTCGGAAGAGGCCACGGAGGTGATTGTTGCTCGGCCTATACTAGTAGTAGTTGATCGCGATATGTCTGAGGCCATCGACTCCCGGGAGGCTTTCCGGGAGGGGTTTGTAGGTCGTCGGGGTGGTAGTGCAGGGCGTTGCTGGACCTGCTGATCGGAAGGCTTGCGCACGGGCAATGGTGGGGGCGACTTGAATTTGGCCGGTGCGGGGGTGGGCATCGGCCGTGAGACTGGGCTAGGGAATGATTCATTGTAGGTAGGCGGCGAGGTTTCACTGTGAATCCATCCATTGCTGCCAGGAGCTTCATCGATATTGGGAAGACTGAATGTCTTGGGTTTTGGAGGAGCGGCCGGGCGGATGGGCAACGGAGTGGGTTGAATCAGTGTTGGCTCACTGGCCTCGGCGCCTCCAGTCTGACCCGCTTGGGCATGTTTCAACGCCGCAATCCGTTGCTGGATAGACATGACTTGGGGTTCTTCGGCCATCTTGAACAGCAGGTGGGTGAGGAGCCTCAGATATGCACTGAAACTAAGGAACTTATAATGAGGTGAAAAACGAATGACAACTCGATGCGATTATCGTGTCAAAGAAATGGTGGACGAATGGGAGAGGGGTGGTGCCTGAGGTAGACGGATGCCGCAGTCAGGAACGCGTAGAGAGATGCTCGCACAGGAAAAAGGCTGATCAGAGGAAACTGGCAGCAGGACAGTTATGAGACAATGGAAAGAATGGAAGATATATAGAGCAGGAAGAATAAAAGAGAGCTTAGAAAAGAAGGAGAAGAAAAGAATAGCCTAGAGAGTAGAGAAAGACAGGAAGAAATAAATGGGAGGCGATGGATTGAGTCGAGTTGGTGGTTCAGCCTTGGTCGATTGAAGTTGAAACAGCATGGGGGAGTGCGGATGCCTGAGGCGCGGATCCCTGCCTTGCTTTTTCCCCCTTCCGTCAGCCCTGTTTATGGATCGGATCCATTTATAGATACACAACCTACCACGTGATCCATCTACTTCTACACAGGACAGTATGAAGTTCGAATGATACAGAAAGAGATCGCTCAATTTTCTCCTTTTCAGTATACCACAGCATTAGAGTACATGAACTCTCCTTCCTTTGACAAAAACCTGCATAATATTGCGGTCATCTCCTGTCATGAGAAACTTCTCAAACACCGTCCTTACATCATCGGACTCCTCCACCGGCGCCATCACACCCGTCTTCGTCCTCACCAGCAACGCATCGAATTCCTTGCCAACGAGGAAGTTCCCCACCTTACCTTCGAGCCCACAGACTCGCGCGCCCCCTAAGGTGGCCATGTAGAACCCCTCCGTGAGAGTCAACGGTTCATCGCGTCCCTGCGTCATGGTACTTCTGGCGGTCGAGACTACAAACGCGGCCTTCATCACCTCTAGCATAGAGCTTGAATATCCCCCGCCGCAGTCGGTCCCAAGTCCGATCTTGATGTCCCGCCGCAGATACTCTCGCACCGGTGCCACCATGAACACATCCATCGTCACATTCGGGATCGGGCAGTGGGCAATGCCGCAGTTCAGCTGCGCCATTCGGTCAATCTCCGCATCAGATGGGTAGATTGCGTGGGCGAGGATGCTGCGGTCGTTGAGAAGCCCCAGCCGTTCGTAGAGCTCCGTCTCACTCGTGTCATTGGGGAAGAGGGTCCGTGTGAACTCCACCTCGCCGCGTGACTCGTTGAAATGGGTTTGAATTGGTAGGTCCGGGTGGCGGGTTGCGAGCTGTCCCAGCTCGTGGAGAAGCTCCTCTTCGCAGCTGATGGCGAATCGGGGCGTGATCACCGGAGTGACTAGTTCGTGGCCAGGGTCCAGATCCCGGACTCTTCGGATGAACGTTTCCGTGTCTGTGATCGATTCAGCAGTGGAGCTATCGCGGTACCAGTCTGGTGCGTGGCGATTCATGTTGCATTTGCCTATCAAAGCACGTTGGCCCTGAGCGAGACAGGTTTCAGCCAGAATCACGGACGCCTCAGCGTGACGCGACCCATAGTAACAGGCAGTCGTGACGCCCTGCTGGAGGCCTCCTCGGACGCACACTGAGTAGAGCCATCGTGCATAGTGCGGATCGGCCAATCTAGCTTCGTGGGGGAACGTGATCTCCTCCAGCCATTGTAAGAGAGGTATGCCTCGGCCAGTGCCGCGTTGGGCCCACTGTGGAGCGTGGGTGTGAGTGTCGATAAAGCCGGGAATGAGAAATTCAGTTGGACCAAGGATGGTCAAGCGGTACGTAGGTGGATTCAGGTCGTGATGCTGCACCAGCAGTTGTGAAATGGTGGCTGCTGGCGTGGACGGGTGGATACCTTGGATGATGCCGGTCGGGTTGACAATGATCACCGTGTCGCTGAGGATCACCAGCTCAGTTGAACTGATGGTATGAATCAGTGTGCCATGGAAGACCTGAGTTCGTGCCAACTGCTTGGCCATGGCGAAGAAATTCAAATGGCGAGATATGTGACGACGGTGATGATGGAGATAAAAAGATAAACTTATTGGAGGTATGACAAAGAGGGAACAAATGAGGGGTGTCATGTTATCTAGCGGGGTAACCCCTGGCTCTATTCTACACATAAAGTTTCCCCAGCAACGCCGAAGCTCCAAATACATTATAGGGTATAATAGGTCGCCATTTCCTCCTGAAACCAGTCATAAGAATAGAACAGTTGCTCTGCCAGTTGGGGATCGATTACTGGCACCATTCCGGATGCATCGACCAGCAGAACGTCGTCAAGTACCGGTGCCATCGGTACCGGCGGCGCCATCAAAACATGCTGCGGCTGAGGAGGCAGAGACTGCTCCGGGGCCAACAAAGGTAAAGGCGGAGGTGGGGGTTGAATGAGATGTTGTTGTTGTTGTTGTTGTTGTTGTTGTTGTTGTTGTTGTTGTTGTTGTTGTTGTTGTTGTTGTTGTTGTTGTTGGTGTTGTTGTTGCTGCTGTTGCACCTGTTGTTGTTGTTGTTGCTGCTGCTGCTCCTGCTGGTATGCGAAATGGCTAAAGATCGTGGTACTCTGATTGCGAAAGGATTCCGCCAATCGCTCGACTCCTGGTCGACGCTTGCCGAACTCCTCTAGCACAACAATAACGGCCTGAATAGCACGCCGCATCGCTCGCTCTTCGGGCTGCCACGGCGCCACTAGACCCTCACGGACGGTTTGCAGGTTGTGATTCAAACACCACAAGATAGTGATCCCAGCAAAGTATATCTGACTGAGAGTCAACCAGATCCACTTAAGCTTTCCTGCCGAGTAGCTGTCCCAGTACGACCGGAGGACCTGAATACTAGCATCCCCGCAGCTTACAATGCTAGCCGCATCTGGCGTTGGGTTTCGTGGACTTGGGCGGTACATGAGAAGTAAAGTAGTCGCGTAAAGGTAGTCATAATAGCTGGTCGAGTAGAGCAATGCCGGTGGATATACTGGGGCAGCCCGACGCCACTCGTCCAGCTCTTGACGAAAGTGCCCAAGCGTGACTAAGACCTCAGAGGGGGGTGGTGGGGGCTGATTATTGTACACTGCGAGAGTAAGTACGCGAAACAACAAAGTAGCCCATCAGGCGAGGATATGACCTACAGTAAGAATAAAGACGGGAGAAAATACGCCGGAGACGCACGACCTGCAAGGGAATGGTCATGGCGCTGGCCCCGGGGGCTTCAGACCAGTCATCGTTGAACTCTCGCGGCAAACCCACTGAGATGTCCTCGTCTGCGATACCTAACGGCCGCCCAAGGGTGCTTGCAATTAGCCGGTCCAGGTTATACAGACTCCAGAATGCTCGTTTCGCCATTTCCTCGTCGACCAAATTTCCCACGGGCCGAGCTTTGTGTAAGCCTAAGCTGATAGCCAAGCGAAGAGCCGTCCCCAGCAAATGCCATACGCTCGGGCCACTCGTAGCGAACATAGTATACAGTGCCATGCTCAGCAAAGCTCTCACGGCCGCCAGGTCTTCGTTCTGTAGTGCCGACGAGAGGGTCTCAGTGCCAGCCTGATAGAATTCTACAGCTTTGGATCCATCACCCGATCCGATCAACAAGGCGGTCGCAAGGGTGATGTGATACGAGTTATGGACTTCGGGAGCAGGAACTTCGCCTGCATAGATGCGGCGCATATTCGTGAAGAACTCTGTGCGGTTGAGGAAAGGGTACTGATAGCCCATGCTATCAAAGTACTGGGACGCAACTCGCTCCGCTTCATCCAATGAGGGAAGCCGAACCACCCGGGGGGCAGACGCGGCGGGTCGGGCGACTGAAGGGCGGCGGTGTTCCAATTGATCCCGGAAAATTTCGCCCACGTTGGGTAACTCTGTACCCACGGTGGAGGAGTTCGGTGGTGAGCCGCTGCTGGATACGGCCGCTGCTGTAGGGGTGGTTGTTGCGGTGGTGGAGCGCGTGGGAGCCTCGCGCGCCATCATCATGGCGGGGACCTGATACCACCAGTCCGGATCGGCCTCCCCATCCAATTGGGCCCCTGTTGGCCGTTCCGCGACCGAGATACCCGTCTTACGGCGTATGACCTCCTCCAGCCATCGGACCCTGTTCTGTAAAGTCTCCAGTTGATCGCGGGGCACGGAGGCTGCGGCGACCTGAGGACCCGGTGGCGGGATGGTACAACGAACGCCGGCGCGCGTGCAGGCAGAACAATTGGGATATCTGAAATCACATTTCTTCTTTCTCTTCCGACAGAAGTCGCAGGCAGTCGAGACTCGTTTGCTGCGAGGTGGAGGAACAGGGGAGACCGAAGCTTGGGATCGAGGTATGTGTGGTTGGGGGAGTGCATGTTGCGGTTGCGGTTGCGGTTGCTGCTGGGCTAATGGAGGCGGAAGAGACGTCTGTAAGGAAGGCGAGACAGCGTATGAAGGCGCAGCAGGAGTAGTGCTATTCGCCGGAGGAGCACGGGACGTATGGGAGGGAATTGGCAGTGGATCGAGACGAAATTTGCCCAGCTGGTGTCGAAAGTCGGGGTCACGATTCGTCATGGTGCCTGTAGAGGAGCAACAGACCAGGGAGGGCGGCTCGGACCGCAGGCCATACCGGGACAACAACGATGTCTCCTGTAATGGTGCTTGTGAGTCAGTTATCTGGGAAGAGGATTGAAGATAAGAATTGCAATCCTGAAGGGTGTGTGGGTGTGGTTAACAGGTGGTTGTTGAGGATGCAGTGAGCGAGCGAGCGAACGAGAGGGGGAGAGAGTGAGAGAGAGAAAGAGAGAAGAGAGAGAGTTGGGGAAATATTAACTAACCTAATTCAATAGCCAATGTTTGCTTGCTGTGGCTTTGGGGAAGCAGAGGGGAGGCTGTGGGGAAAGATGCAGTGGAAGAGAAGGGTTCTCTGCACCAGCCGCCGCTTAGCGCCGGTCGGGGATCTCCGCCAAGCCAAGTCCATGCTTGCTTGCTTGCTTTGCATGACACAACATAGCACACCAACAGAACAAAATCACAATAGTGATCATCTTTATTAATGACTTTCTCTACCTCTCTATGCATACAGTACATACAGTACATACTAAATCTATGTTCTGTATCGCACTCCCAAGTCCTACAATGTCGATTCGATCCGTCTATCTATGTACATACACACACTGACTAACTTAAGTACACAACACATCCAAGAAGAAACCCATTCGGTATCATTCCCAAGTCCCTCTGGCAGGCCCAAAGTAACCTGCTGCAGGCAAGGGTAGATAAGGGGTGCCATGAGCATCCGTGGTTTGATCATACACCGAATTCCCCCACCAGTTCAGTTTGCCCGCCGGCAGGGTGATGCAGAAGAAAATGGTGACCGTCGCAACGGCGACTCCGGCATCGAGGGCAGCGGACAGCACGTAGTCTGATCTGGTTAGTTGATAACAATACCAGAACAAGATTGCAGGATCCAAGAGTAAACGCACTATACTTAGACCACCAGGCCGGTTTCCGTCGCTTCAAAATTCCATTGAAAATGACATTGACCACCCACCAAGATGAAAAATTGATGCCAGTCGCGGGAGGAACCAGGCTCATGGCGCCGAAGGCTACCGGCCAGGAGAGGTAATTGAATTTCTTCCACCGCCGGCCCAACAGCCACGTGAGAACCACTACCACCGGACCGACCAGGAAGAACCATAGCAGGTTGCCGTAGATGTGGCCTGGGGAAAAGTTCCGTTCGGGTCCCAGGGCTCCTGGCAAGGTCGAACCCCAAAGATTAGACCATATGCTTGCAAAACGTGGTGCTTGCGCAACACCTGTGCGCAAAAATAACCCACGTGGGGAATTGATCGGACTTACCCCAGATCAAGGAGGAGGAGTAGGTGACCGCCCCATGAGGACAACTAAACCCCCCTGCGGCTTTAGGTGTACACACACTGTGGATCCGTGTGATCATGAACACCGTCACACCGCACTGCACCACGGCTCCGATGAGCGTGGCCATCCCCTGTGCAATGAAGAGCGTCCGGGGCGCAATGTGGAGATAATGAGCCAATTTCATATCCGCCACAAACCTGGAGCAGACTTAGATCAGCCTCGATTCGGTATCCAGTCTTCAACTGGAGCCAAAGGACTTACTCTAACCCCTGCGACACGGCTACATAGCCGTAGAATTTGAACGTCATGTTTGCGACCGGACGGCCGAGGAACGCATACCCGCCGATAAACTCGGTGATTAGATTGAGCTGGTTGCTGGAGATATTGGTTACGGCCTTGATGATTCCCACAGGAATAAAGTAAATGATGGGGAGAAGAAACGCCACCAGCACGGCCCATGCCGGCAAACCAGTCCGCCAGACCTCGTTGGTCACAATGCTCAGCACAAACATAAGGACGGTGACGGCAGCGAACCACCACCAAGGAACACCCTTGTAGGTCTCCATGATCCGAGAATGGACATCCTTTTGATCACGCCCTTTCCACTGTTCAATCAGATCCTTTCCATGGTACAATGCCACATGGAAGAAGATCCCGGTGAGGTTAGCAAACGCAATGCCATACGTCAAAGCGTACCCGGCAGGCAGAAACATGGGGGAGTAATCCCGGTAAGCGTCTACATTGAAGGACCCATCCGGGTTCATTACACGGGTGGTGTTGTAGGTCTTGCCGGTGTTGTCAAAGGTATTCGAGTTGAGGATGGGCAGATAAGCCGAGTACCAGGTGTTGGTGTAGTAGATAACCGGACAGATCACCCAATAAAACAAGACGAACGAGCCCATGACATTGAGACCCGCCCAGAAGGGCACCAAGAGTGGGCTTTGGTTCGCATAAACGACCTGGGCCCAGTCGAAGGTCAACAGGGACATTCCCAGTCCCGTCACCTGACCAAATAGCTGGTTCACGACTACATTGTCGGGCACAATCCAACAGATGAAGCTGAAGGTGCTGAGGGCGGAGAAGAGGTAGCCCGGAGCAAAGTACCAGATGGCCCCCAAAACAAAAACAATCAGGAAGAAGCGGAGTCGGCTGATGATCCACCCGTCGGCAACGAGATTTTTGCGCGAATGTAGTGTCGAAAGTAGGGCTGCATTTGATAGCACCTGCGGCCAGATCATGGTTGCCGGGCCCACTAGCCAGCGTGAGGCCATGCCGGCCAGGCCAAATCCGAACAGTTGACTTGTGATCACCAGCAAGATTTCGAATCCCCCCTGTGAAGGCATACCGTAGAATTTGACCATCGCCTCGATCATCTGAGTGGCTGCCGCTGATCCGAAGGAAACATTGGCCATGATCGTGATCAGGGCATGCTCCTTGATGTTGAAATGGCGGTCCGGATTCATCCAGCCCAGCGGCACCCACTGTGCCCAAGCGCATCCGATCGGATAGGCCAGCAGCTGTGCGACTAATGCACTGATGGTTACGCTCGGCTGTCGCAAGCTAAAGAATTGGTTTAGACCGCTTCCTACCTGCAAGAATGGGAGGGGCAGTCGTCAGTGATTGGACCCCCCTGGTGGCTATCCCTGTAGCTGTGCCAAGGGAGAGAGTGTGCGCATAGTACATGTACATACTATGGTAAAGACAACACCAATCACCCACATGCGCACCGTGTTGACCGGGAGAATCTGGTCGTCGACCGGCCGGACGACCGCGCGGACCTCTGGGAAAGGCGAATCACCCGCTTCATAGGGGAGGATTTCTTCGGCATGGTAGTCACTCAGCACGCTGGGGCTATCACTTAACGAGTCTAACGGGGGTTGTTCCTACGAGGCAGAGGACGGTCAGTTACATGCAAGGGCGATCCTCTGATTGGAGAGTGAACGATATATGTCAGATCGGGGGTCGGAAGGTCTGTGACCGTCTGTCATCTGTATGCGGGTGTCGTGCGACAAGCGATGGTGGGGGAGCGAACGACCACGTGGGGAATGAGGGGAATATGTGACCACAATAATAAATGAATGTGACTCTGTGCTGGACTTTGGGGAATTGATTCGATTATTATGGGTCTAGCCCACCTGGATCGTCGATGAGTTCTTTTCATCCGTCATCGTGTCCTGTCCTTGTCTAGGTGGCCCCCGTCGCTTCCCTGTTTGCCAGGGAGAGAGATCGAGCGGGAGACTATCCGATCGGCTAATAAGTATAGAAGCTGAATGCGAAACAGCCTTTTGAATCTGATGAAGCCAAGGAAAAATCTGTCTGCAGAATTGGCAGAATTAGGAGGGGGGAGGGGGGTGGAGGAGGTGGAGGGGGGGCTCTCTGGCTGGTCCGAGAGTCGCTGGACACCTTGGGCCAAGAGAACAGTGGAGTGCACCGAATCACCGATACAGATGATAATAGCCTAAGCCTCTCCGTACCGGGCTAAGCCGCCACTAACAATGCCTTGGATTTCCGAAGGGAGTAATTTTGGAAGCAAGTCAAGCGGGACTGACACGCTGGTGTGGTTTCGAGAACATGTGGAGAGAGGAGTTGGGGAGAGGTGTAAGGAATTCGAGACTAAAATGATGGATTGTTTCTGTTTTCCTGCTGCAGTCAGGGTCAATGGCAAGTGGAATAAGAAGAGCAAATCCCGAAGCGAGGGAGACTCGAGACAGTGACGTAGTTTCTTCTCCCAGACACCGCAAGTGAAGGGAAGACGAAAAAAAAAGGGGGGCCGCGAGAAGTACTAAACCAAGGGAAAACTTTGATCCCAAAACTTGTCTAACTCCATGTGTACAGTAGGGATGCCGACGCCCGAGAATGATACGGAAGGCGGGTTCTCAGTCCTACACCTAGACCAGATACTCCTCATACTCATAGGCTCATAGTCTTATACTCAAATCTCCACCTGCATCTCCACTCACTATTTACAGTGCACTCCTGCCTCTAGTCCCTTCGGGTCACTCGACTTCGTCTTCTTCCTGCCAAGAGATGCTCTAGACTGCCACCAATGCAATTGAAGGGCAATCCATTCCTATCGGATTCGACAGTTCGATCAGCTTCCATCATTATTTGATCACTTTTTGCTCCGGGAGCCAAAATCGCGGCCCTCGTGGGATTCAAGCCACGATCGGAGTACCGTCGATTGCAAGTGCCGTGATATGTCATGATATCCTTACAAGGGTTGTTGATGAGGGGGTTGGTTGTGACCCCGGTGGGGTCTTTGCCGTCTCTTTCTGCCCATCATCGTGCATAGGAGTTACCCAGCAGAGAGCTCTACTTTAGACCCCTATATATCCAGCTCCTTGATTAAACATATGATGCATATAATCATTTTTTACTTATCCAGTCCATGCTCTACACAATTTAAAATCGGACATAACTCGGGCACATGGTATGAACTGGCCGTTACTCTCTTTCGGTTCCCGTCCCAGCACATACACGTACTCGTCATCATCGACAAAGTTTGGGGCAACGAAGCGCGCAAGGAATTGGCACGGACGTTGACCGGTTTGCCACGCAGCGTACCGAAATCCCGCTCTTTGTGAAGCCCAAGAACCGCAACCGAGGAATTCTAAGGTCTTGGGTTTGCAGTAGGGGCTAGTGCTGCCAAGTTTACCGTCATCTTACCGTTGCTCATTGCTGTTACAGGAAATGCTCGAGGGTGGTTCTGGAAGGGAACGGTGCGCAAGATGACATCAGGTCAGGGGGAACGCGGAGAAAGGCACGGGGCACTGGAAACGGAGAACTGGACAAGCGATAGTCGAAGACAATCCAGACCTCTCCCTGCATCGGCACAGTCTAGATGCTACGGTTATGATGACAATGACGGTTGTTCAGCAACCCTATGTCTGATTGCGCATCATCGGACCTTCATCCGCTCACGGCGTCCATGGCCGCGATGAGGCGGAGAATGCACGGGATGGTTGAATACTTCGGGGGGCGGTGGCGGGAAACAAGACACCGACACGGAGAGATGGAAATAGAGAGAGAGGGTTGGCTGGAAGAGTCAAGTTCGTTATGGTTCGAAGTTTTGCCATTCCTCGACTGGGCCCCATGCTCGTGGGAGGAACCACCCCTACCGGGTTACGCAGGTCTTGTCACGAATGATTGACTGGTCGAATGAATGTACTGTCGATACTCAGTAGCTATTCCCCAGTCTAAGGACAATAAATTTGGGAGAATCGTGACCGTCCTCTATTGTAGATGTAAATCAGCGGATCGTTCCGGTCGCTGATCGCATCACGTTTGCAGGTCGGAAGGTTGGTTGCTTCACAGCCTGAGGCAGAAATGGCTGGGGAGTGGAGCAGTAGATTTTGTGGCTGTCTTTCAGTCAGCCTCAATTGAATAGGTAGTTATTCATAAGATGTTGTCTACTAGTAACTTACTGTTGCATTGTTAGCATAATCTAAAAATAAGGTAAGATACTCACAAGTATAAATAATAAAATATTCTGGATAAATTTTGGGTTTATTGACAAGGTATTTACTCCGTACTTGTGTTTGACCGATCCTTAATCATCCTACGTAAGTTAAGTTAGTTCTATCAAGTAACAACAGCCTGTAAAGACTTTTGCTAAGCCTCAGCAGACGACTTAAGTTACTCAGCACTCTAGGTAAGCTCTCTCTCTTTTTCTTCTTTTTTTTATTCCCAGTCTTTTTTCTCTTAGGCTGAGCCCGACCGGGAATCACCAAGTGGCGCTTGACTGCAAGGGGAATCCGGGCCGGGCTCTCAGTTGGCCTGTTGGGTTCTGGCCGTCCGCCTACAGGCGCAGATGAGGTCAGATCTGGAGCGAGCTAGTGGGAAAGCGCCTTCCCTGCCTTGGTCACGACCCGGATTTCCCACTCTATGAAACCGGAATCTTCAACCTGATCCCAGTTGACTCGTGGGTAAGTGAGTGTTAATGTGAGAAGTGACTGAAGTGACTGACTGACTGACCTTTTTCAAATGGCGATCCATCCATCCATCCATCCATATATCCATTATCCATTTTTTTGCCCCCTCCTCCCTTTTGCAGACGGGTGGTGGCCTATTTTCTTTCTCCTCACCGTATCATTACACTGGGGCATTTCTATTCTCTTCTTTTCTATTTTCTTATCTTATTCCATGTAAACTCATCTCTCCATTCTATTTTATTTTTTTATATTTTCTTGGAATGGTTTTTTGTGTTGGCTTACCGAGAACCATTCATTGATCATGATCCAATATAAAGAATGAGGCGTCCAGGGCAAATCACCACGGGTTAAAACAGGCGAGAAGTCAAGGGCAACATTCCCGATCGATAAAATTGACTGATTGACTGATTGGCTGATTGATTGATTGCATAATTGATAATTGACAATTGATATAATACTGGGGGCTAGTGCTCTTTTTTTTTGCGCCTCATATAGGTAGTGATTGCATGATTTCTGTTATTATTCTCTAACTGGTGTATGGGGAGTACCATTCAATCATCATTCTCCTCGTCATCATCATCATCGCTGCTTTTTCTACTCCTCTTCATTCGTGTTCTCGTATACTACACTAAAAGGATCCACGGACTGGCGGCTGATCGACTTACTTTTACTTACCTACTCTTCCTGCTTGTTTGCCTACCACACTGCACCAGCTGTCTACCGACCATCACTGCTACCACCATAACTAAATACTACCTTCTTAGTAGTTACTTTCCCTATTCAAAAAGGGCCAGACTTAGTCAGGATCTTACTAATTTCTCCCCCGCGGCTGTCGGGCTTCGCTTCCGTCCAGTGGTTGGTCGAACCGGTCTTCTGACGGCTCACTGTTGACGTCGGTGGTGTAGTTTGTCTGTGTCTATTCCTTCTAACCTTGAAACCCACCTTACCCTTCCTTACCCTTACCTTGCCTCGACTCTCTTCCTCTCTTTTCTTGTCTACCTACCTACGACTCGACTCTCTCTCGACTCTCTGGTTCCTATCCACTCCGTCCATTCCCAGATTAACCTCTATTCTGTTTCTTCTTCATCGATTCTCTTTTCTGATTTTCCTTTTTTTTTTGTCTCCCCTTGCCCCTCTCTTTTCCCTACGAACGCAAGTAGTCGGAAGCAGAGGATCCTTTGGTTTGCCATCCCCACCGTACCCACTTCTCTTTCCATCTGTCTCTATAAGCCACTTTCGCCGCCTCGCCCTTCTTCTTTACCCTCTCTCTCTTCCCTTTCACTCATCTCTTCTGCCTTTACACCCCATTTGCTCTTTTTCTTCTATACGTTGTTGTAATCACCTGTCTTGTTTCAATTCCCTCCCCCATTGTCGCCTCAAATCCCTCTCTCCTCTCTTTCTACTCCCCTCCCCCTCGTCCTCTCTTCCTACAAATAGCCGCTGTTCATCCATGTGTGGTTCAGCATGGATCTCAACAAGCGGCTCTTTCGCCTCGACATCGAGAACAAGAACCAAGCACCACCACTCAATTTCGCCATGGTCACAACTCCCCCAGATGAGGATGAAGATGACGAACTAAACCACATGAAACTCCGCGAAGAATCATCGAAACCGTCGCAGATTGATGTCGCCCAGCGCGCGGACAGCGTCGTAAATCAGCAGCCGCTCGACCATGCTCTGAGTCGCATCTATCGACTCACGCCTACCCCGACCGTAGTGTTGGACGCTTCTTTGCAGGTCGTGGAGGTCTCGGATTCACATCTGTCTTTTGCAGGCTTGTCCAGGGATGTGGTACTTGACAGCTTCATCTGCGATATCTGTCCCCGTGTCATTCCAGCCCTCGATATCGCCACATTGTATGGTGCGCTCCGAGCAGCAATCACGTCGCGGGACATACAACTGGTCGACAACATCCACTTGGACGAACCGAACTCGTACTACTCACTTCGCATAACACCGATTTACGAGAAGAGCACTTTACTCTACATGGTACTCGAAGCGCACTCCATAGTCAAGAAATTCTCCCACCCTACCAATAATCACCATTCCTATGTTAATGATACTTACAAGGTGCTGCTGGACACTGTCAAGGATTACGCCATCTTCATGCTGGACACGCGGGGCAATATTGTGACGTGGAATTCCGGTGCCGCCATATTAAAAGGATACAGCGCCCGGGACATTATCGGAAAGCACTTTTCCACATTTTACGGGAAGGAAGACCGACTTGCTGACAAGCCGGGAAAGGAACTGGTTGTCTGTCTCCGAGAGGGGAAGGTTGAAGACGAAGGTTGGCGGTACCGGAAAGATGGATCGCGATTCTGGGCCAACGTTTTGATCACTCCGATGTATGAGTTCGGCCGGCACATTGGTTTCACCAAGGTCACGCGTGATTTGACCGAGCGCAATGCGGCGGAGGCACGCATGATCGCGGCTTTCGAGGAGTCATCCAAGCTGAAGACCGACTTCTTGGCCAACATGAGTCACGAAATCCGTACACCCATGAATGGAATGCTTCTCGCGCTCACAACACTCATGGAAGCGGGCTTGACCGAGCGTCAGCGTGAGTACGCTGCTATTATCGAGGACTCGACTTCGCTTCTACTGCAGGTCATCAATGATGTCCTGGATTACTCGAAATTGTCGTCTGGCTCTTTCTCATTACATCCTGATGCGTTCAGTATCGACAATGTCACCGGGGCTGTTGTGCGCAATTGCAAAAGCACTTTAAAGCCCGACGTGGAGCTGAGCAGTTACATCACCCCGGGCTTTCCTTTGCAGGTTGAAGGTGACCCACTGCGATATCGTCAAGTACTCCAGAATCTGGTGGGAAATGCAGTCAAATTTACCGATAGCGGATATGTTAAGATTTACACCTCTTTCGCTGAAGACCTGGCCGATCCGACTGTATTCAACGTCACCACGGAAGTCTTCGACACGGGAGTGGGAGTCCCAGAGGATGCGCATAGCTCTCTGTTCACGCCGTTCACTCGCTTTGCTGACTCGAACACGAGAAGATATCAGGGCACAGGTCTTGGTCTGTCAATTTGCAAGAGCTTGGCAGAGCTTATGGACGGTAGCGTGGGATTCCGACCGAATCCCGAAGGCCGTGGCAGTGTGTTCTGGATGACGACGAAGATGCGTCGGGTGGATATCAAGCTACCATTGAGGACTTTCAGTCCTCTTGTGGAAAATGTCGAGGATGTCGAAGCCAAGATTAAGGCTCTTGCACCCCAGAAGTACGTGCTGCTTGTTGAGGACAACCTGGTGAATCAAATGGTCATGCTCAAGCTTCTCAAAAGCATGGGCTTTGCGCGGGTTGATGCTGCATGGGATGGAGCGGAAGCAGTACGACTGGTGAAGCAACAACCATTTGCTTACAACCTAATCCTCATGGATATCAACATGCCGATCCTTGATGGTGTCGAGGCCACTCAACAGATCCGGCAAATGGGCTTGGACGTCCCGATCATCGCGCTCACCGGAAACGCGCTCAAGGGTGACGCGGAGATGTACATGGCCAAGGGCATGAGTGATTACATCGGCAAGCCGATCCATCGCAAACAGCTCACGCGGCTGCTCTGGAAATGGATGGGCACTTGATAAGATGTCGACAAGTTTACTATGCTGTTGTTTTGACCTGCTGTCCTTCCCAACAAGCGCGCAGCTAATCCCATCGCTTTAGACATGGCACCTGCGAATATGCGCGAAGGGCTTGTCTCAGTTCATGGTTGCACTCCAGCGAAGCAGCAGCCCAGACAAGAACCCTTCCCCTGAGGTTTCCACGGCCACGGCGTGAGAGCTTCTCGCTCCTCGCTCCCTTAATTGCCGTTTCCACTGTCTACCAGCAACGCTGTCGTTGCAATGTTGCTGCATGAAGCAACTAGACAGACATGATAAATTGATGAGTAATGACCAGCTCATACCACAAGTATCACCTTGCGAGCAAACACTTCCGTGAGCGCTGGAGCGCTGCCATGAAAGGCATGCATGCTGCATGCATGACTGACCATGACTGATCCTTGGCCCCGAACGTGTCCGGTGATGACACCTTGCAAGCGGGGCATATACATACTCCCCGACTGGCCATAATCAAGACTTTACACAAGAAGTAACATACATACTTACTGTACTCCACATTGTGTTCATCTAACAATAATGATACATTTGCGTGATCGAAACCTCATTGCCGGTCAATAGGTTGAACAAATGACTTTGAATTCTCACTTCCCCAGTACAGAAAGCACACTGTACCATACTTCCAGCCAATGAATCTCCCCCACATTGGAGCCCTATGACCTCCTACGCGGCATCGGCATCAGTCCTAAATAGAAACGACCGATCCCAAGTCCCCACAACCGGACTAACTCACATCCCTTTCACGTAGTCTAGTTCCCACGACTCGTTCAACAAAACCCAACAAAGCGCCACACCCGATGATCCACTACCTTAATCCAGATGGGGGGTGGACAACGGGACTTTGGAGAAGTCAAGTGGGCCCCCGGTCCCCCCTTGGCCCCCCCTTGACTCTGATCTTGAGTAATAACAGGACACTAATGATAACGAAGGTAATAATCTTCCGATAATAACATCCAATATACTTGAAAACAGTATTCAGAATCATGGATCCCTTTCCCACAAGCTTTCCACCAGCCGGGCTGCATCAGATTTAGAACCACGTGGGGGGGTATCTTCCTACGAGCATATGAACTGGTGGAGGCGGTCGAACGGTCACCTGACTGGAAATTTCCCCAATTGCTCCTGTCTTGTCTGGATGGTAGGGGATGATTAGTTCACCGGAGCCACAGCACAAACTGGTAGGTACTGTAATCTACTGTAGTAGAAACGCCGAGCGGGAGTTGCATACTTCGATAGGCATTCATCTTCCTGGGTCTTTGTGGGTGATGCTACTTTTCAGTTTTGTTTCAATTGTAACATCCATCGCATCTCAAAGCTTTGTTTCCCCATTGGGTGATGGAACTTGAAACACTGGTGTCAGTAGTGTCTGTACGTGTGGTGGGTGGTAGAAAGTAGTCGGAGGGGAAGGGGATCCATAACTAGACGTAAAGGCAAGGCAAGTAGATGTTAAATGGGAAAATATGGATGGGGATCTCACCTTCCGAGAAAGGGGTGATGTGAATACTTACTAGTATCTATGCACCTGGCACCGACTCTCGATTTCTGTGCGGAAAGAAGTAGTTCCATCCAATGGAAGAATCTATCGATACAGTAAGTACTGTACTGTTGCATACCTACACAACCTGGGCTGGGAGCAGAATAAACTACCTACTAGGTAGTAGGTACTTCGAGTGCCAACCAACTTGAACCGACCGAGCAACCACCCGAGGGCGTGTTTCTCATTTTTCTACCGTAGTCAGTCTCCGCTTGGTGATCCTGCGAGTCCGCACAGGTATGTCAACAGCCGTAGTAGGAGATGCCTCGGGCATTTGTTCTACTCCAGAGTCTTAGTACTTTGCAACCTGATTTTTCAAGCATATACTTAGAGAGAAAAGCGACAAGGGAACAGTGGAAGGAAAACTTCTATTCAATCTATCCACCTCGGTTCATTTATACACATATCACATCATATTGGGCGGGTTTTGGTTTAGTTCTTCTTTTCTCCCCTCCCAACCATTCATCAGAAAATAAGTGACCAGCACATTTAAACAACAACCTTGTGGGAAGCAGGCTTCTCCTCCTCCTCACCGAAGATGTTGATATCCCAGCGGGGCACGTTGGCGATATAAGGGGTGTTGTAGCGTCTGCGGTCCTTGCCCAGAGCGGAGACCTTCTCGACCTCCTCGGGGGTGAGTTCCACCTCCTGGAAGTTCTCGGCGATGCGCGAGGGAGTGACCGACTTGGGGATGACACTGTGGCCACCGACCTGGGACCAGGCGAGGATGACCTGGGCGGGGGTGACGGTCTTGCCGAGGCGCTGCGAGGCGGACTCGGCGACTTCCTTGACTTCGGGGCGGGTGACGAGGAGGGGAACGCCGAAGCCGTTGTTACCGAAGGCCTGATGGATTTCATGTATGATTAGCTTGGGGAACTAGCCTGAGGTATGGGAAAAGCCGAAGCCAACGTACGGAGTAGGCGGTGATGTGGATGTTCTTCTTCTTGGCGTACTCAATCAGCTCGGTGCTCTGCAGGACGGGGTGGCGCTCGATCTGGTTGACGGCGGGGACAACACCGGTGGCGTTGATGATGGCCTCGAGCTGTTGCAGAAGTTAGAAATCTTGTTCGGTCATCTTTGGAAGGTAGGACCAATTCTTACGTGCTCGACCATGTGGTTGGAAACACCAACGGTGCGGGCCTTGCTCTTGGGGAGCTTGGTCACGGCTCTCCAGGTGTCGACAATGGAGATCTCGTCGTTGATGGCAACGTCACCGCCCTCGACGCTGCTGTTCTCAACCAGAGGGAAGTAGTCGTTGCCGCGGGAGAAGGAGACGGGCCAGTGGACCAGGTAGAGCTGGGGCTATTAGCGATTGCATAGCCAACCAAGGGTGTCATCGTCCTACATCGAGGTAGTCGAGCTCGAGCTCAGCTAGACACTCGTCCAGGGCCTTCTCGACATCGTCGGGGTGGTGCTGGCTGCGGGGAGTTAGTGGGGATCGAGCATGACGAGTTGCTCAGACTAACCTGTTCCAGAGCTTGGAGGTCTGGGGCGAGTTAGAACATATACGCCGGTGTCAAGGTAAGGTTATACGCACGATGAAGATGTCCTCACGCTTGAGGCCGGGGATGTCCTGGAAGGCGCGCTTGATACCCTGGGCAACCTCGCGCTGGTTCTGGTAGCTGGGGATTGTCAGTCTGGATGAGTGATTTGGTTGTTTTGAATGGCTTACATGGTGGCCAAGTCCTAGATCGTGTTAGCTTTTGGTTCCATGCAAATGGTGCTTTGAAAACCTACCAAGTGACGGTAACCGGCCTTGAGGGCGTGGTAGACGGCCTCACCGACCTGACCGGGGGCGGACTGCCAGGTGCCAAATCCCAGCTGGCTGGGGAGAGGTGAGTAAATGTGTCTCGGATGTTAAGTAGGCGAGGAACTTACGGGATCTCGTGGCCGGAGCTGAGAGTGACCTTCTTTCCGAGAGACATTGTGAATGAGGAGAATATGATTAATGGACGTGGAGAGAAAGAATAAGGAGAGAAGAATGGTTCAGGGGAATTGAGGAAGAAGAAGAAGAAGAGAGAAGGAGAAAAAAACAGGAAGAAGAGGAGGAGGTTGCGAAAGAAATACGAGAGGAGCTTGAGTGGGGGGAAAGAGAGGGAAGAGGTGGGGGAGCGAGCCGTCACGACATCTACACAGTAGAAAGAAAGTAGTATGTTTTACCCCGCCAGTCGGTCTCAGACTCTCAATAGTCAATCAATACCCTTCGGTGGGGCCAAGCGCGTGGGATGGCCTCAGGTTCACCAGTGCAACCATTTTTGGATACAGGAATTGTTGACAGGACTTCTCTACTCCGGTCCAGACAAAGCAGGTACCCTCATCTTCGGTAGGCAGTCTCCGTGAGATGCAGTGTCCTCAACGACTCGCATCTACAGCTGCATCTCGTAGGACCAGGAGCCGTGAGTGGAATGCAATGCAGCATGCACTCACACACATCCGCTGTACTTTGACATGATGTCACTTGGCTATTGGCTATCCCGACAGCTGAACAAGAGAACTTAGAAAAAGATTCCTCCGGCTTCTTTCCCCTTCAGTTGGACCATCGATTGGTGGAGACGACAGCCACAACACCATACTCTATTGGGTTAAGCGCCGGAGAAATTGGGGTCCTCCAGTCTGGGACCGAGAACAGTCAAAATAGCCTCCACTTTCCTCCGTCCACATGAGGGGAAATCTGGCTCTTGCGGAAGCGAAAACGTGGGGGAGGATACAGAGTAACACCTTCGGGTCAACCCCTCCACCGGAAGTCCCTCGTCCCCCGCTCGGAGAATTACCCGTTCGGGTCGACCAGTTTATACTCCAGCTATGTCGTTTCAAACTCTCGGTTAATATCCCGAAACAACACCCGAGCGAGCTAAAGGTTCAGATCAATCATATATTAAGATCACAAGTTCGTGGGTTTGGGAACCAGATAGCTCAGCTTCAATGCGACCCAAGTGTCCACGATAATCTGGAATTGGGGTCATTGGAAGGAGGTACACCTTGAGTATCGCACCGCTCTCAATCCTGCAGAGACTGTCACCAGACCCCCAATCAGATGCACAGATCCATGTGTGCCGGCCAATGGATTGCTCGCTGCAGAAGAACTACATATTAGGAGAGACACTGGATTCCAGCCTGGAGCCCATGCGGGTCCTTCTGCACCGAACATTCTAGTGCAGCCCTATGAACCAATGCTTCGATTCTTGAAAAATGCGGGACTCCCGCCATCTGGCACTGCCTGAGCCTGGAGCTTGTCGAATGTCATAGCGAGTAGTGAGGGATTAGAGAAAGGCGCACAGGGGTGGATGACTCTGCTCGTCGGGTGTAACTTTCGACAATTAAGATGAGACACGCGCTTCACATGAAGGAAAGTAAGTGCGAGGTTCTACATCGTCTGTATCATTCTCAGCTCTTCATGTCAATTGGCCTGAGCTTGGCATTGAAGGTGTAATGCGGAGATAATGCAGATCGTGCATAAGGGTATCTATGCTTTCAACGCACGGCCTACCGGGCTGCAGGAAAGGAATGCTCTTAGTAGACTATACGCCGTGACAAAAGAGAGAGGTCTACAGAAGAGGCTCCTGCCGCTAATCTTCTTTTGGCGAGAGATGAAGAGAGTGTGCTTTTCACACTTCTGGTTGCAGGCATATATACTGTGGAACCTGCATTGGTCCTGCAGTCCACAAGTGTCGATAGAGAGACTTCATCTACTCAGTAGCAATCGATCAACTGATCGGTCTCTCAGCCCTCGGGGCCATAAAATGAGCTTCTGGAGACCAAACGATGCGGCTTTGTCCCCGTACCTGCATACCCATCTATTCCTGGACTCAAATCCTCGCCAACTACTACGTTCCTAGTTGCAGTATATTCTTAAATCATTAGGCCGTTTTCTTAGCCAGGTTCTTCTCATTGTAGATTTCCTACTCCTGCGTCGGCTAGGCCACGCTGTTGAGCGCGGCCTATGCTTAATCTGCGTGAACTCTGTCAGGTACCCTCAAGTGAAGCAGGGAGACGGAAGCCAGAAGATACATTCCTCCCGCCAAAAGGAATGGCAGCCCGAACCATGCGGGCCCTAGCCGCAGACCCAAACGAAACGCGTACGCCAGAAGTGGACTGGCAATCACCATCCCAGATGACGTGATAGCTGCAGCTGACGAATAGAGGGTTCCCACGCGGTCCGGCCGGACCAGTGAGGTCACAAAGCTGCGGCATGACACTGCGAAGGCAGCGCCCAAAGAGAACAGCACAATGCCCAGAATTAGAATGGCCCGCGATGCGGCCGTGGCGATGACGAAGAATCCAAGAGCGGAGACGAAACTACTTCCTTGAGCCAAGAGTAGGTCTTTCAGCGAAGCTGAAAGTTTGAAGTACCGGATCAGTAGGAAAGACAAGCCTGGCATAATGAGTAGATAGTTTGCTAGTATGATGATACCGCGCAAGGAAATGAGGAGGCTAGCCTGCAGGAATTGTGAGATCATCGAAGCTTGTTGGAGAGGAAGGTGACGGCGATGATATCACTTACATCGGCAATACTCCAACTGAAACGTTTCGACGTATATAGCAGCAAAAGGCTCGTCGATTGCTTGCTGATGGACGTGACAAATAGGGCAAAGAGACAGATGGCAATGGCTGGGCTGCCTATTATTAACCTGGCAGAGTCCTGGAGGTCCTGGAATCTGCCCTTGATATACTGCCTCACTGAGATCTTTCCATTCAGAGACGACTGTGTCTCGTCTTCACTGGTCACAGTCGTCGGATCAATTTTAGATTTGGCATCGTTCAGTGTTTCCGGCATGAGAAACGCAGCCAATGACCCGAGAGTAGATACCCCAAGTCCGAGCATGAATGGCAGCCATGGATCACGAGCCATTAGATATGCACTGACTGGGGTGGCTAAGACTTCAGACACAATCACAGTGCTGGTCAAGCGGAACAAGGCTGTAGCTCTGAGGGCGAATAAGTAAACGTGCCAGCATAGAAGGGCTATCACATACATCTCTTCCTCGGAGAACAGGTCCGCTACCATAACCAGAGCAATGGATGAAAGGGTGATGTCCCCGCCGCCAATGAGCCTCCACACTCCCGACAACCAGACCAGTCGCAGTGGTAGGACCGTGGAATACAAGCCTTTTTGTCATTATCTTAGCCGAAATACAGTTCATGCAGACAGGAACCGGCCCCCCACTTACACACGATGCGGACCCAGAGCTCCCCGAGGAGGGTCCCCAAGAGACCAAGAAGGAGAACCGGTTTGCGCCCCCAGCGGTCCGCCAACACACCATAGGGAACAGACAGAAGAATGCCTAGGATGCAATGCCATCAGCCTATTGTAGTATGGGCATAATGGGATTCAGCTGGTCATCATACCTGGTAAAACATCGGATGTCTCTTTCCATCCATTCACAAGAGCCAGCTCACTCTGCACCGGCTCAGACTTACAAGTTCCTTCTGTTGGAATTGTGTCTGCGGGGTTCCCTAGAGTATTCAGATAGTTCTGGCAGACAATATTCTCGAATATCTTAGTTTGGGGGGCGGCAGTCAGGTAGAATCCAAAATCCACGGTGAGAATGAGTATGGACGCTGCAATCATCACCGTCAGTTTCTGTGACCTCGATGCGGACGCCGGTCGAACTCTGTTCGCCTCCAATAGAGGCGCACGCTCATCATGAGTATCTGTCGTATCGGACGCGTTTGTCATTGAATTTAGTCAAGTGATAGTGTTGGGTTCAGTTTTGTCAAGAACTGAATACCAATCAATTGAATCAATTGAGATAAAGCAGGAAACGTTGGGGAAAGATGAAAAGGAGCTGAAGGATAAGTTATGTTGGTGGGGGAGGGGGCGCTCGCTACCTCCTGGTAATTAGTGCCCACCCTTGCATATATAGATTAATCTAGAGGACTAGAGTGAGATAGCATAGGAAAACACATAAGCTGACTGATAGGCGTCCGAGCGGGGTGCGCTTAATCATGTCGTCAACAAGATCAAGCATTGAAGAAGGATTTTGATACGCTTGGGCATAATCCATAATTGAGGATTTATATACATTGTTCAGATCTAACTCCAACCAAGTGGGAGGGGCCCGAAGTGGTGGCGAAATGGCTCATCGGAAGCAGCAGTGCATGCTGTACACGAGTGCTCTGTCAGTAGAATCAGATTTTTTGAACCAAGGTGGCACATGAATCACGATCGAGAGCATGGGAGTTGAGATGGTGTACAGCATGTGTGCTGCCCTGAGGTTTCTCCTCGATGAATAGCTTTGGCCACCCACATCAATCTGGGGACGATAAGCCACACACACGTCTGAGCCAAGTCACCAATCCTATAACTAAAGACTTACCTTGATATACACCCAGATCCAGTTTAGAGAAGTCCATGTTGATTATTCGTGTACCGCAGTTAATACTTCGAATAAAAGAAGAAAAGAGTAACTTTAAAGATAACTGAAGTATGTTGTGCTTATATAAGCATCGCAAACTGAGTCGTCGGCTCCGGCACTTTTTCGAACCTGAACTCGCCAACTCCGCGGTAGAGCTACAATCCGGAAAATGTCCTCCTTTCGCGCATCAGCTTTTCAGTCGCTATCTCGGAGCAGAACCTCTTTCCTCCGCTACCAGCAAAGGAGGTGGGCTCAAGTACACGATGTCCGCTTCCTCGCGACACACCATGACTCCAAGCAGGTGCTGGACAGGTACAAGGCCAAGCTTGACCAGAAAGCCCAACAGTGAGTTAATGGCAACCCTCACAATTTTGCGATCACGATACTCATATTGACATGATTAGAGAGGGCCATGAGAACATCGAGTCGCTGAAGGATGCCTACAAGGAAAAGATCCAAGACTTTCGTCGTAAAGCATCCACCTCAATCACCCCCGAACCATCGACCCCGTCTCCCTCCGCCACCGGGCCTCCTCCCCCTCCAACGCCACCTCCCTCCCCTCAAGCTCAGGCTGCGATGAAGGCTACGGCCTCCGCGAAATCGGGTGGAATCAAAGGTCTTGATTCTTTCCTCGACGTCGAGAAGATCCGCAGCCTGCCACCCAAGGAAATCGAAACCCTCTGGCGTCTCCGGCACGCCAACAACTCACACTCCATCTGTGCTTGTATTCCTGTGGAGACATACCAGCGCATTGTGTCTGCCGCGCGCCAAAACCCTCAATTCATCCTACCTCTGCCCCGCGATGCGACGCAGGCCGAGGCCGCGGAGGGTGAGAACAGCGAGAATGCCAATAGTGGTGCAGACATCCATTTCCTCCAGTGGGCCTTCCACCCCCCGGCATCAGCCCCGTCTCCATCTGCCACCCACGCTTCACTTGCCAACTCCCATACTTCCACAATCATCTTCACGCATCTTGCCGCCTACAAGTTGCATGGCTCCTTTGCCCAGCCGCATACTACCATTACCCACCATCTTGATCTCGCGGACGACAAGGGACTGGTCCTTATGCATGGTCAGGTGATGCCGGACTCTGGTGTGTCTATCACGGATGCCAGCTGGCTGGTCAGCTGCGTGCAGCGATTCTATGACTTTGGTGGACAGGCTAGTGGGCGGAAGGGAGAATTGCTACGCATGTTCACTCGGGGTGACGTGCAGAATTTCAAGATTGAAGAACTATTGGCTGAGGCTGAGAAGGTTTAGATGAGCCCTGGTCCGAATAACTTGTGTATGTACTATAGGAGTCGAGTCAAGTCATGAGCGTATTTCCACCTCGTATTGAAGCGAGAATTGCCAAGCACTGGGACCGTCCTCGTCCTCGAAGTCGGGGAAACCGCCGGGATCGGCGCTAGCGCCTTCCGAGTCCGGTCAGACGTAACGGTGTCATGTCACGTGACTATACTGTACATCATGCAGCCCCGCGCGCCTCCCCGGAGAGCCAACACGCGTCCAGAGTTTCAACCACTGAGGACCCTGATTGGCACCAGAGCATATCTTCAGCAGGTGTACTGTACATGTTACTATCTTAAGCTCCTCAACTCTTTGTCCCAAGTGTTGGGTCCCAACCGTTTTTGTGTCGGTCGGAGAGGTCCAGATCGACGGAGTAACTTACCTAATCAACGCTAGCTTCAACATCCGAATTCCTCCGGAGATCGTTCGATTCGCATCATTCTGCGCTCAATTCTTGATTTATTTCGCAAAAACTTTCCTTCTGCCGCTGCATCTCCAGCTGCATTCCAACCAACGAGTGCTTCAGTAGCTGCAGTGCATACTGTCTTGGGCGGCATAGTGTCGACGCCAGTGGGAAAAGCTGTCCGACTATCGCCTCATCCGCCCAGTCTGCTTGCTATCAACGCGCCCACGCGCTGACTGTCCCCAAAAAGAAAACCCGCCGCAACGTCACCTTCCGTCACACTCCCCGGCCGATAAAGCGTTTCAACCCCGCGGTCATGAGTTGAGGGATACAGAAACGAGGCACACCCCGCGGCAATATTGATGATATTTGCTTTTCCTCTACTCTTCTCTTTTTTCGGTCTCAACAAGTTCGAGTAACCCAAGACGCAGCCATGGCTCGGAGATACATGATCCCGTGGCTATATGACCTGGGGGTGTGGATTTTCACCCTCTGTCTGGACATTTTCTTCCGCGAGGTTTACTCTCGCGGTGCATGGCGGATTCCCAAGCGGGGCCCCGTCATCATTGTTGCCGCCCCCCATGCTAATCAATTCGTGGATTCGATCCTACTGATGCGCATCATGAAGCACTATGCGGACCGTCGCATCTCGTTCCTGATCGCCGACAAGTCTATGCGCGAACCTTATATTGGAACTATGGCTGGATGTATGGGCGCGCTGCCCGTTGTGCGGTCGATGGATCATGTCAAGCCCGCAAAGGGTGAAATCTACCTTCCGGACCCAGAGAACGACCCCACCTTGCTCAAGGGACGCGATTGCGACTTTACGAGTGATCAGTTCATGGTGGGCGGGACCATTATTCTCCCCCGCGTAGGCAAGTCGAGTCCCGAGCAACAGGCAATCGAGGAGATCATAGATGCGAACACGATTCGACTGCGCAAGCCGTTCAAGACGTTCGAGAAGGACCACCCTCTCTATGACGCTCTGCGTAAGGGAACCAACTTCAAGATCGCTCCCCACATCAATCAGAGCAAAATGTTCGATGCGGTGTACCGCGAACTGATTGCTGGTGGCTGCATTGGTATCTTCCCCGAAGGTGGTAGTCACGATCGCCCCAGCCTTCTCCCGTTGAAGGCTGGTGTGGCTATTATCGCTTTGGGCACACTGGCGCTGGATCCCAATTGCGGGCTGTCCATCATCCCGTGTGGTATGAACTACTTCCATCCGAACAAGTTCCGCTCTCGTGCCGTGGTAGAATTCGGAAACCCTGTTCAAGTGCACCCGGATCAGATTGAAGCGTTCAAGGCTGGTGGAAACTCCAAGCGGAACGCGGTGGGCTCTCTCTTGGAAACGATCACAGAGGCATTGACCACCGTGACACAACAAGCTCCTGACCATGAGACATTGATGGTCATTCAGGCCACTCGTCGACTGTACAAGCCGCTCAGAATGAAGCTGCCCCTTCCGGTCGTAATCGAGCTCAACAGACGTCTCCTCAAAGGCTACACCCAGTTCAAAGACGAACCTAAGGTACTTCAACTCAAGAAAGCCATCTCTGATTACAACCGGCGACTTCGTGCTGTGGGAATTCGCGATCACCAAGTTGAATGGGGCGACGTCAAGCACCGCCCCTGGTGGCTGGTTCTGGGTACCTTGCTCTACCGTGTCGGCGAACTTCTGACCCTGGCCGTTGGCACTCTACCCTCCGTCGCTCTCTTCTGGCCCGTCTTCGTTACCGCCAAGGTTGTCTCCGTGAAAAAGCAACGTGCTGCGCTTGCCAACTCTGTCGTGAAACTTGAGGGCCGTGACGTCGTCGGCAGCTGGAAGATCTTGGTCGCCATGGGCCTCGCTCCAGCGCTTTACACTTGGTACACCGTTATTGTGACCATCTGGTTACACTACTGCCGCCACGATGGATTCTACGCTTCTGTCGTCCCGTGGTGGATGAACGCTCGGACTTACATTTCCGACTCAATCCCGCTGGCGCTCTTTTCCATCTTCTTCTTCGGCCTCATGATCTCTGTCTCCTTCGCCGGACTCCGCATTGGCGAGATCGGCATTGACGTCCTCAAGTCTCTGCCCCCTCTCCTCGTCGCCCTCAACCCTCGCTCCGCCAGCTCGCTCGCCAAACTTCGCGCCGAGCGTCAAGCTCTCTCTGCTAAAGTTGTCGACGTAATTGACAACTTCGCCCCTGAAATCTTCCCGGACTTCGAGTCCGAGAAACTGATCGACCACGAACATCCCGGAGACGATACGTACCAGTCCCGCCTCAAGAGTATGCCCCCTAGTGAACCCGAGAGCCGCAATCGCAGCGCCAGCCGCAACGGACGCAGCCGGTCCCGCAGCGCTGGGTTCAATTTGTACGAGACCTTCCTCAAACCCCTCAGCATCAAGTCCAAGGATGACCTCGGCGAGGTCAACCGCCGCATTCGGGACTCGATGCAGGAACGCGGGCGCCAGCGACTTCGCGAGGAGTACGACCAAGACGGGGAAGAAGAAGTGGTTTCCTTGGACGGATCGGCTAGCGTCGGTAGTGGCGATGTAGTTGTTGTGGAAGAGATGAAGAAAACGAAATGATTTAATGTCGTGTGTTTTGGGTGGCGACTATGATGTTGAGGCTATAGGTTATCTAGGCATTTCTGTCACACCCTGAAGTCGCTGTGACTGCGCGAGTGTAATCTGGCAGCGATTTCTTTCGGTTAGTCTGCCCGGACTGAGATGTCATGTTAGTGATTGTTGTTGTGAATGTCGATACCCTCTCTCCATTGTGCTTTTTATATCTACCATTACTATGACTTT